TAAATATTGCCACCACCCCCCCAAACTCGGTCTCTAGATGCGCCACTTTCAGCTCTACACTATTCAAAAACTCAGTTAAAATAATAGCTTGCTTCCAGTTTTCCTAGTACTGTTCAGAATAAGGACAAAGTTAAAATTGATGAAAAATTTAAAAAAAAATAATTCGTTCAGAAATTAATGACCATGAGTAACAACACCACGACAGAAAATGTAGAATAAAATAATATCATAAATTTGTTCCTTGCCTATTTTTAACCAACATATTATTTGTGCTATAAAGCTGCGTATAAATATGTCGAGACGAGTGCGAGAGACACCCGAGACGAGTCAACCTCAAGCGGATTTGAGGCTGACTCGTCATATTGGGACGGGGTCTGAGCTTCGAGCCGAGCCTATGCCCAGCCGGACGACGTTGTCTCTGTTTTTTCCGGAGCCTTTGGCGAACCATCAAAAGGATTGGGGCGTCTATTTAACCAGTGGCGTATACACCGCGGCTCCGTGGAACAAGTGGCTCGGATTCCACATCCCATTTTTATATAAAAATAAATATTCGTTCCTTTATTTTTTATAATGTTAATTATGCATCCTAACAAGAAAGATGCAATTTTATCTTCTCTAAAATAGTATAGGTAAGTTAGCCAATAAATCTCATATACAAAGATTTATTAGTGATTTCTTTTATAAAAACATGAAAATTTTATGAAAAATTAATAAACGAAATAAACTTTTCGGCGATTTAAAAAATGAAGAATAATTTAAAAAACACATCTTTGAGTAAATCTTTTACATGAATTTGTCCGTCAATAAATTTCATAGACTTGGTTATCAAACCGTGTTCCCGTATATTATTTAAATACCCACAAATTTTCTAAAAAAAAATAAAAATTAACACATTTTTTGAATACAACAAAATAATATTAACTAAACAAAACTAGAAAACGTCATTTTTACTACATCACAAGCAAATAAAAAATAACACGTAGCCAAGAGTCATAATTCAAAATTTCTCTGGGGGGTGTCCAGCAGTACCTGGTGGGGGGGGGGCTGATACCACCGGGCACCCCTGTAGTTATGCCAATGTATTTACAATATATGTTCCAGGTTAGTTATTGGCATTTAAATGTAAATTTTTAAATTAATAATTTATATCTTAATTACTTAAATTTATAATTTTTTGAATAAATAAAGTCAAATTAGTTCTTATCTTACTCTATTTAAAATTTTTATAGATATACAAATAACATATAAAATATATTATTTAATAAAATAATTAAAGATTCAAAAAAAAAACACGGCACTGGCAAGTGTTCAGTCGGCTTTCTCCATTTTTTTTTAATGTAAACAATCCGAATTATTTCTGACGGCAAAGTAAATATAATTTAAATTTATCATGAATTTTTTTAATTTATCTATCTTATTTTGAAATTAAACAAACATATACAGGGTGTTTCAAAAAACCATCTCTCGTGGAGAAGTTCCTCACGTAAAAATAAAATTTATTTTTTATATCAACCAATCCGATTATGCTTTGATTCGTAGCTACAGGGGGTTTAAGTAGGGTTGCCAACCGTCCTCTATTTCAGAGGACAGTCCTCTTTTTGATTTGATTTTTCTCTTACGTATTGAAAACTTTGTTTAGGTTAGTTGGACGTACTGAGACTTAATTTCTTTGCTCCGACGATACCGATAAAGGCACCGACAAAGACAGTGCTGAAATTATTCCCAATGGGTCCCAATTTATTCCTAACTGACTTCAGATAAACTATCCGTTATTATATCTTCGAGTTTTGATGGTACAAAATAAAAAAGAACATAATATTTAAGGTTTCTTTTTGATCTACCATGTATAATATTTTCTTTTCTTCCTCTACAATGTGTGAAAACTATACTAATTACCCTACTTTAATTACCATTTAGTTTTTTGAAGCTTAACAATTATAGCAATGTAAAATGGCATTATAAAAAATCACCCTGTACCTTTTCGTTTTTAACCACCTGTTATTTTTTATTAAATATTTTTTTAGTTGTAGTCCTGTACTAAGGGACAACTGTATTTTAAATATTATATTTAATTTCATGTTTTTCTACCAGGGCCCATTAGAATATATTTTTACTAGGATTAATTCAATACCCTGTATTAACACAAATACCAAGACGTAGAGTTAAAAAATTAAATATTTATGGGGGTATTTATAAATGAGTTTAAGATAAAGAAATCATTTTTTGTTTATTTGTTCTTCAGAACAATAGGTACCTATTTTTGTCCTTTTGCCCTACCTGATGCAACACTGACAGTGTGTCGCACTCAGTGTTTAACGAGATTTTACCGTGCGACGTGCTTGGTAGTTTTGTGGTAGTTTGCACTATGGAGTGGTCGGAAGAAGCAATGCTCAACTTAATAGAGACATATAGATCATTTAAAAATTTATGGGACCCCAAAGACAGAAATTATCATAAAAAAGACAAAAAAAATGATTCGTGGAACACATATATGCACATTGCATATAAACATTTGTTTCTACATCTTTCCACTTATTTTCTGCAGAATATGCCGCCGACGTTTCCCGAATACAATTCGGACCACCCTATAAATTCTTAATTACCTATCTTGAATTGAAATAGGCTGCTGAAAATGAGTTTCACTTTTTGAGATAGTTGGTCCGATTTTGTTTAATAAATATTCAAAATCTGTAGGGGACATTCTTGTAAAATTTTTGTACTGCCCGCTGACATGCTGAAACTTTAAATCTGCTAAAAGTTCTGATCCAGATCGTTTTTTAAATAAAGCAGTGCGCCACCATCGTCGATTTTTTCGTTTTTTATTCACTACACTCAGTACTACTTGTTCTTCGTCGTCAGACATATTTTTCACATATCAAAATCTCACCGCAGACAGAGTGACTCGACGGAGATTACCGTAAGCCCCTCCCACTACATGTGCTAATTAGTCCGGCAGCCGCTGGCGTAAACCCAAAATTTTGGGATGAAGTTTTTTTGAAAACGGATTTATCATCTATAGGTGTCCTACTTTTGATATCCGAGTGATGACAAAGTGGCATCTTTGGGGAAATTAAGATACAGGGTGATTATTATATTATCAATTATGTGAAATCGAGTGTTATTCGAGTTATCGAGTTATTTTGTGTGTTTTTAACGTGTGTTTTACATTGATTTATTTAATAATGTAGGTTTTTTCATAGGTATAAGTGCTAACAAAACATCTTATATACAGGGTAATTAAAAAAAACATAATATATTTTCACGTTAATTGAAGGTAAATCGAAAAATTACATTTTTGCATTTTGTATACTTTATTTTGAAATGGAAACACAAAATCATCGGTAATTTTTTTGGTAAAATTATTAATACCAATAATGATTGTTGAATTGAATTTAAGATACGAAGTTCTAAAAACAAGAAAAATATTAATCGGAAAAATGTAGGTATAAGTTTTTTTAAATCACCCTGTATATTGCAAATAATAATGATTATTATTTTTATGCTATAAAAGTAAGCCTATATTTAGTATAAATACAATAAATTGACCAAGCCACACAAAAATTAAGGCCTAAAGCTTAAAAACCTATCGAATACATTTTTATGTTTTATATTTTGGGACACCCTGTATATCTGGATTTTCCCAAGGGTGACAGCTTGTCATCAGCCGGATATGGAAAATAGTCATATAGATCTATAATAATCCGTCATAAAAAAAACTTAATCCCACAATTGGCACTTCAGGGAAAAATCCGGGTTCTGCTGCCGGACTAAATTTCTTTGCTGGTTCGCTAAAAGCTCCACTGAAAATGGATAGCCGCGAGACAACGCCGTTCGACTGGGCAGGGACTCTGTTCGAGGCTAAATCGCTCGGCTCGAGGCTATAAAATATAATATGACGAATTTCGCTGGAGGTTGACTCGTCTCGTCCTCGTCTCGGCATATTAGTACGCCTTTTGGAAAGAATTTGCTATAGCCTCGTTTCATACTCGTTTCGGGTTTGTCTCGTACTTGCCTCGGCATATTTATACGCGGCTTTATACTTCCTTTGACAAATAAATTTAAACTCGGTAGTCAAATCAGCTGGTCTCTTTGAATTCCCTATGATTAAAATGCGATTAAAATAGATATACTTATTTATTTTTTTCCTCTACAAATTATCAATAACATACAAAATAAATCCAATATTAAAAAATAAAACCATATACATACATAATATTAACATATAATAAAAAAAAACGCCAGCGAAATTTACCTTTCAAAAATATTTTTTTGGAAATTGCAATTCCCACAAAAAGTTTATAAAATTAAATTCAAATGTTACCAAAAGCTTATAAATTAAAATAACAATATTAATTTACATAAATAAGGGGAACATTGTTGGTGTAATACTAATGTAAACATAAACGTTTTCTCTAAGACAACATTTAAGTAGTTACAAGGTTGTGCATTTTCATTTAAATAAAACATTATGTATTAACAAGTGAACATTATTTATGACAAATATAATGGTATATTTAAATAATTTATTATAATTAATATCCGAATAACATACTTGAATATTTAAAACAATATTTTTACACTTATTTTTTTTTAATAAAGAAATATTAATATTTAAAATATTAGTTTTTAAAAGTTAATGTCTACCTAATGAATAAGTTACCAAAGTAAGTTAACAAAATAAGTTACAATAATATTTTAAACCTTAACATTATACATTGACACTAAATAATTCACATGAAGGAATAAATTTAAATGAGTTAAGGCATCTAAAAAATTTATATATAGTATCAATACTGTAATTCACTTAAGCACACAAAAATAAACAGCTTTCGTCATAGATGACGCTTCATAGTGTACATGCGTTAAATATCTAATTTTACAAAAAGTTTAGTCAAAAGTTGCGTCACAAACTGGAGTATTTTTAAGTTTAAATAAAACTTATTTATTTTGGTACTCTCTAAATGTGTGTATTATATTCCTTAGGCCTTTTATAAATATTTTTATAGTATATTCAGTCCCTCACACTCACTTTTACAAAGTCCTGCAAATACTTCATAATGATGATTTAGATCCTTCAATAGATGTACTTTACATAAAGTTCCTAAAGCGCCATTGGATGAATTGATTCCATAAAACACTTTTTTAATTCTACTATGCACTAAAGCCATGGAACACATTATACAGGGCTCATGTGTTAAATAAATATAGTATCCTGTACATAAATAAGGACCATCAGAAGGCTGGCCTATTTCTGATTTGTCTTTGAACCAAGTTGAGCCAAAACAACTGCCCTCAAACTTATCTTGCAGTACAGTGTGTATATCTTCTGGTATTCCTGATAAATTTAATTTGGATTTATTTGGCACATCATTAATATTACTCAGTTGAGTTTGTGCAACATTATTAATTGAAACCATAGTAGCATGTTCACAAGGGTTAGATAATGCATTAGAGTAACCAACAGCAACAATGGACTTGATTTTTGGATCAACAACAACTGATCCTACACACTTTCTGTCTTTATAAGTTATCTTTCTGTAATTGGCCAATAAAACTGCCATTTTCATAAATTTCTCATGCTCACACAACTCTTCTGATGAAAATAATGTGTTTGTTACTAACTTTTCTATGTATTTATCACTATGGAAGTTGCAAGGCCAATACTTATTAACCTTGTTATACTGAGTTCTAGTTTTTGGAGGAATCTTTGCTACAGATACAACTCTTATATTATTCTGAAGATAAGATGTATCAAAGTTCTTAATTTTTAATAAACCATGAACCTGGTCTATCCCAATGCTGTCTACTGGGCATAACAGTATATCTTTACCTTTAACTCTCTTTAGATGAGTCAAGTCTAAAATAGGTAATGAAGAATTCAAATCTATAATTACTTTTGAAATATGTTTGGGATCATTTATAGTATCCACATAAACATCAATTAAAGGTGTATCTTGAATAAGGTCATCTGAAATGATTGGAATTAAACATTTCTGACTGTGTTCAGGTTTATCTAATTTGATTCTTTTGGAGCTTCGCATATTTGAAAAAATCTTCAGTTTTCATATGAATTACACAGCATATTAAGAATTGCGAAAGGTTAAATTACTTATCACTTTTACACTAATAACTAGCATCTTAATGTACTGACGTAAGGGTTTTCTGATTTTCTTGATCCTGTCTTCAACACCTACTGTAATGGAACAGTATTATATTTTTGAAAAGATTACCGTATACTTAGACGTAAACTTAGTATAAAACAAGTCATTAATGTTAGCAACTTATACTTCATAGGAGATCATCTCTAAATTGTATACCAAACGGACCAAAATTCTACTATACAATAATAAAATAATTCACAATTATATTATGTAGAATAAGATAAAATCCGAGTTGTCATTTGATAGCTAAATAAGTTAAAATATGTTATTATATATTTATCAATTGATAGTTTGAAATAAACATTGAAGTTTAGATAGGTATTTCATAACCTAGATAAATCGCCTGCTAACTTTTTCAATTCATTATGATTATATTTATATATGGACTTTCTGTAAGACACATTGCTTAGTTTTACGAAATATACATATAAAAACATTGTAAAACTTCGTAATTAATTTGAATACCAAATTAAAGAACTGCCTTACCTGTGTAAATAATAGGTGAGTGTTAATAAAATATCCAGGTTCATTGATTTTGTCTATAAATCAACAGTATACGTGATAAAATAAAGCACAGCTACTAACTTGTAAATAACTAACTTAAATCGGATTAAATAACACGTTTTCTTTTAATCTGTTTGATATTCTTACATACGTCGCCAACTAAAATATTAAAATAAATTTATTATAATTTATAATTGACAATTGACAGTTGGTGACGTAAATCATCCATGCACATTTGACATAATTAAAGACATATGCAGATATCGCGATCTCTTTCTGTCATATTCTGTCTTATAATTGGTGTCTTTTTTACAGAGTTGCTTGACTGGAACCCAGCCCTTCATTATGAATCTTTTTGGCGCAAAAAAATGTTGGATCACTTATTTTATCTTTGTATTTTGTCCAAGACCAACCACCTTCTGTTCTTTCTTATTTTAAAAAACCGAATTCAAGAACATATAAAACATATCTTTTTAATTGATTTATTGAATTTCAGTATTTCGGTTAAATTAATACTAGAGATTTCAGAAAATATTAGTTTAGCTAGTAATGGCTAGATGTCACATCTTACGAAATTTTAATGCGGCGATGCCACTTCTACCGATTTTTCGATAGATCTACCCATTTTGGCAGGTCTTGCCGATCAGTGCCTTCTATTAAAAGATCAGCCTACGGGCGGACTTTTGTTTACTTCATCAGCTGTACATACTTAGATATTGGGTTAGATTCCGTTTCATATTTTGTCGGTCGATTTTTGGTTTTAACTCTTTGATTTTTGGTATTATTTATTATTGTAGTGCAAAAAACTAATTATTTTGGTGTTGAAGTGACATAAACTACTACCAGATATATGGTCACTCTCGGTTTCGCATAAAAAAATAGAAATTTTAAAAATTACACGTTGTGCAAGTGATTTAACCTAAAAGTGCCCATAAATTTTTTATTTATCGTGATTTTTGTGTGTGTTTTTTAAGACTCTAACAATTCATCAATAAAGCTTAAGTGGAGTGTGTTATTGGTGCTATGCCTCATCTTTGTTGTGTTCCTGGTGGAAAGGATAGTTTCCACCAGGAACACAACAGTGTATATGTACTAGGCAGCCTAAAGTGTCCGGAAGAGCAAGAAAAGTGGGTACGAGTTATAAATCAAGAGAATTTTATTGAAAATATCTTTAATAAATTTAAAAATAATATTCTCCCATGATGGTATTAATGAAAACTGGACAATTATGTTTATTTTATTCATATTGTGGAATCTCCACTCCAAGTGTTGCTGGTTCAGCTTCGATAGATTCAAACACGTAAGTAGGTATTATGAACTAGGGAAAAATAAAGAATATGTGTATTAGAGATCATGAAAAGATTATTATTTTGAGTTCAAATTTTAAAAAGATTTTTGTAAAGACAAGACTGATACAGTTTAAAAGAAGAATGTGTTTTTGTTTGATAATATATAATGTATGTTAAGCATAACATATATTTGTTCAGTAATTTTTAATGAATAGTATTGATTATTTATAATACCAAATTAATATCAAATATTTAAGTGATGACTGAATACAATATGAATAAAATAACAATAAAATTGGTATATTTGCATAATACAAAGTTAAGTTTTAAGAATAAAGGTATTACTAAAAATACTAAGAAATTCATATTTCTTTGTTTTAATTGGTCTAATGTTATTTACATTTTACGTAAGAATTATACCGTATCATCGAAAAAAATCGGCGTCTAGTTGGCTTGGAAATGAATATCGATGACATTCCCTAAATAACTGTACACATAAAATAATTAACTAGAATTTTACAATCTTGGAAAATTTGATATTCTTGAACCTTGATTCTAAATATTCTAAATTTTTGATTTTCTTGGAATTTAGGTTCGGGAAAAACGCTGATTGATTTTCATTTGGTTTTTCATTATTTTTATTTGGTTTAAAAAAAAACGGTTTCGGCTAACATTATAGCCTCCATCAGTGTTGTGTCATATGAAAAAAATAGTGTCGAATATAATCCAAAAAATTGCATATAAAATATTCACACCACGCACATAATGTTTACTGCGTACTCCATAGTCAATGTAGATAATTTTAGTGTTAAGAATAATAATTTAAAAAAATATGTGGTCATCTTTTGATAAGTTTATATTAGTTTATTAATTGCAGTAAACATTATGAGGTGTGAATTATATTGTATATGTAATTTTTTGGATTATATTCGACACTATTTTTCTCATATGACACAACACTGTGAAGGCTATAGTTAGCCGAAACGTTTTTTTTTATACCAAATAAAAATAATGAAAACCCAAATGAAAACTTAATCAGCGTTTTTCCCGAACCTAAAAATCCCAAGAAAATCAAAAATTTTAGAATAATTTAACATATAAAATGCCAGCGATCTTCATTTCATAGCCATCGCTGACGCCTTTTTTTAGATAATATTGTATTATTTGTAAATATAATATTTCTAACATTGATACTTGCAAAATATACATATAAATTTTATGAATGCAAATAATAATACATTACTATTAGTAGATATTGAATGTTTTTTGTTAAATTAGATCGATTTTCAAACCCCAAAATTTAAAATATATTTACATTTTACCCATTATCTTATGTACCTATACATTATTTGTACATTGTAAAACATTTGCTGCATTTGTATGGTTCATAGTTTATTTGCCAAAGTATTTATTACTATAAATAGGTATATATGTTGTAGTTATTAACTGTATATTATGTATATTTCATTTAAACTATATCATTTTTAAAATACAAACCAAAAATCTGAGGAATAATTATGTTTTCCATGTATTCTACAACATATTTATTAATCCGTTATATCTAACTAGCCTGACGTCATAAATCTCGCCCGCAGGCTGATCTTTTAATAGAAGGCACTGTGCCGATCTACCAAAACCACCATAATTTTCTTTAGATTAAGGATATTTTTATTTTCCTTAGATATTTTTACATATTTTCACTCTTCGGAATATTTTAGTGTCAATAGATAGAAGAATTTGTTAGTACAATTTGTCCAAAATTTTTAATGAGATATATTTTCTTGGGAGGGGCTTAAGAGAGCGCTGATAGAAATAATTTTCATTTTTTGGGACTAAGCCGATATGCATTGTTTTATTTAAAGGTTTCGTCCTGTGTATTCATGTTTATTATACAATTTTGTGTTGTTTGTATTATTCAAGTATCTTTTTATATCCCCAAAACGTTTTTTTAGCACGTCTTAATAAAAATATTTATATTATGTTTTGATTATGTGTTAATATTTATCCAATCAGTGCCTTCTATTAAAAGATCAGCCTAGGAGCGAGATTTATGACGTCACGCTAGTTAGATATAACGGATTAATAAATATGTTGTAGAATACATGGAAAACATAATTATTCCTCGGATTTTTGGTTTGTATTTTAAAAATGATATAGTTTAAATGAAATATACATAATATACAGTTAATAACTACAACATATATACCTATTTATAGTAATAAATACTTTGGCAAATAAACTATGAACCATACAAATGCAGCAAATGTTTTACAATGTACAAATAATGTATAGGTACATAAGATAATGGGTAAAATGTAAATATATTTTAAATTTTGGGGTTTGAAAATCGATCTAGTTTAACAAAAAACATTTAATATCTACTAATAGTGATGTATTATTATTTGCATTCACAAAATTTATATGTATATTTTGCAAGTATCAATGTTCGAAAAATTATATTTACAAATAATACAATATTATCTAAAAAAAGGCTATGAAATGAAGATCGCTGGCATTTTATATGTTAAATTATTCTAAAATTTTTGATTTTCTTGGGATTTTTAGGTTCGGGAAAAACGCTGATTAAGTTTTCATTTGGGTTTTCATTATTTTTATTTGGTATAAAAAAAAACGTTTCGGCTAACTATAGCCTTCACAGTGTTGTGTCATATGAGAAAAATAGTGTCGAATATAATCCAAAAAATTACATATACAATATAATTCACGCCTCATAATGTTTACTGCAATTAATAAACTAATATAAACTTATCAAAAGATGACCACATATTTTTTAAAATTATTATTCTTAACACTAAAATTATCTACATTGACTATGGAGTACGCAGTAAACATTATGTGCGTGGTGTGAATATTTTATATGCAATTTTTGGATTATATTCGACACTATTTTTTTCATATGACACAACACTGATGGAGGCTATAATGTTAGCCGAACCGTTTTTTAAACCAAATAAAAATAATGAAAAACCAAATGAAAAATCAATCAGCGTTTTTCCCTGAACCTAAATTCCAAGAAAATCAAAAAATTTAGAATATTTAGAATCAAGGTTCAAGAATATCAAATTTTCCAAGATTGTAAAATTCTAGTTAATTATTTTATGTGTACAGTTATTTAGGGAATGTCATCGATGTTCATTTCCAAGCCAACTAGACGCCGATTTTTTCGATGATACGGTATAATTCTTACGTAAAATGTAAATAACATTAGACCAATTAAAACAAAGAAATATGAATTTCTTAGTATTTTTAGTAACACCTTTATTCTTAAAACTTAATTTTGTATTATGCCAATATACCAATTTTATTGTTATTTTATTCATATTGTATTCAGCCATCACTTAAATATTTGATATTAATTTGGTATTATAAATAATCAATACTATTCATTAAAAATTACTGAACAAATATATGTTATGCTTAACATACATTATATATTATCAAACAAAAACACATTCTTCTTTTAAACTGTATCAGTCTTGTCTTTACAAAAATCTTTTTTAAAATTTGAACTCAAAATAATAATCTTTTTCATGATCTTTAATACACATATTCTTTATTTTTCCCTAGATCATAATACCTACTTACGTGTTTGAATCTATTGAAGCTGAACCAACAACACTTGGAGTGGAGATGCCACAATACAAATAAAATAAACATAATTGTCCAGTTTTCATTAATACCATCATGGGAGAATATTATTTTTAAATTTATTAAAGATATTTTCAATATAATTCTCTTGATTTATAACTCGTACCCACTTTTCTTGCTCTTCCGGACACTTTAGGCTGCCTAGTATAACTATCCTTTCCACCAGGAACACAACAAAGATGAGGCATAGCACCAAAAAACACTCCACTTAAGCTTTATTGATGAATTGTTAGAGTCTTAAAAAACACACACAAAAATCACGATAAGTAAAAAATGTATGGGCACTTTTAGGTTAAATCACTTACACAACGTGTAATTTTTAAAATTTCTATTTTTTATGCGAAACCGAGAGTGACCATATATCTGGTAGTAGTTTATGTCACTTCAACACCAAAATAATTAGTTTTTTGCACTACAATAATAAATAATACAAAAAATCAAAGAGTTAAAACCAAAAATCAACCGACAAAATATGAAACGGAATCTAACCCAATATCTAAGTATGTACAGCTGATGAAGTAAACAAAAGTCCGCCCGCAGGCTGATCTTTTAATAGAGGGCACTGATCCAATCTACATAATTTTTACCACCAAAAATAAAATTTTGGTAGTGGCAACACTGTTTTATAGACCAATTTTAAACATATATTTTAAATGTTTAAAACAAAATATCTAGTAATATTGAAACGGGCGAGAAACGGATAATACGCTTAATATAAGCACTTTTACTTTATAACTGTTTATAATAAATATAATACTATGTCTGAAGGTAATATAGGTTGTTAAAACATAATGAATATTTTCAAATATTCTGTTTTAGAATTTATTATAAAACGAAGACTTTTGTTTGACGGTGAAGGTACAGGTGACGATAAAAAAATAAACAATTTGTTAAAGTTACTCATATCGTGGTTATTAGAATCTGATACAAACACTAAATCAGATATCACATATGACGCGTTGATGGCCCAACTGCATTCACTTATTTTTAATAGAAAAAAATCATTACTGTCCAGTGCCAGTACGAATAAACAAAGACAACTCATGAAGAATTTGTACAACATATATAAAGAGAGAATAGAATTAATTAGGAAAGATATTGTAAAGCAGGACGGTTTGTTGGAGAATGCCAAAATTACTAATCGTATGTATATTACGTACAATCTAATATGTCAAACCATTGCTAAAGAGTTGCCCAGAAGAAAACTTCAATCTAAAATTGATATTCTTAAAAGAGAAATATCTGAATTAGAAATCAGAAAACATGTACTAGGTAACACCTTTAACTGCAAAGTAAAGCAATGTCGTGTACTTTCAACTTCAGCTAATAATATATATAAAGAATTAGGAAGTGAAGTAAACGATTCTGATTAAAAACCAGTATTATATTTATTACCTATTTAGTTTTATATCAATATTATTTTCGTTTGTAGTTGAAGAGCATTCAATAAAAGTCCACTTAAACCAATAATTGTTTTTATTTACTGTTATCATATTCCTTATAGTAAAAAATGTACTTTATAAAATATTTTGGTACCTTACATAAAGGCAGTATGTCAGATGCATTAAAAAGCACAGCATCCTCTGAAGTAAAAAAAAGAATTTCTGCCACTATCAATTCATAATTTCCATAATATATTAATATAAAAACTTTTACACATCACATATTAAAAACAATGTTTCTTTAGCAAAATATCATTTAATTGTTTTACAATATACTGAAAGATTTAGTTTTTAAAAAACAATTGTTTTAGACATAGCTTTTACATTATTTCTTAATGTTGATGATTTAATTTTGCTAAAGAATTACTCATAACTAATTATAAATGGCATACTAACACAAATACAATATACAAAGGCAAAAAGAATTACATTACATTTTAAAGCACTGGTTAACAGTTTAAAAATAACGATATTTTGTACTACTGTATAAAAAATATAGTGAGTGCAAAAACAACAAATGTGTTTTTACAATAATACAAAATATTTTATCCTACCTAAAAATATTTTTTTACAATAAAATATGTACAACAGTTCTAACTCATATAAATAAACTTAAAATATACAGGTTTTGATATTGTGCAAATAAATAAAGATTTAATAGCTGCATTCCCATGTAAAATAGGAGAAATATTTTAAAACATTATTTACATTAAAGGAACATTTGACTTAATTTAGAAACTTTTAATTTGAAAGAATAATCAGTTAAAATATGATATGTTTATAAATATAATTAAATAGACTATGTAATAGGACCTGCTCAATTAATTTTGTTGCCTACCGTCCATCTATATTTCTCGTGAAATAAATATTAACATCCTAAGTTAAATGTAACTATATTTTATTAGTTCTTGTAAAGGAGTTTTTTTATTTGACATGAACAACAGATAAAAATAAAAATAAATATTGTTAAATAAAAAATAATTTTATGACCTTTTAAAATTAATGTCCAGTCTAATTAAATATATTCACAAACATATTTTTGTTATTAAATCCGGCAAGAAGAAATTGTAGCCCGATATATAAATAAATATTCCATTTTTATGTAGTATTGACACATGACATAAATAATTTAGGCCAAATACACGTGACTTTAAAGATAAACAATTTTAGATAATGTATAATTAAAAACATATAAGAAATGTATATCATTCTATGTGCTATAAGTTCAGAGACAAAAATACTGTTTTATATAATGTCAATATTTTGGCAATTCTCTGTATTTTGCCTTACTTATTAGTTATAAAATTATATCTAATAATAAGAATTCAATTCCCAAGGTTTTAAATAATTAATATTTCCATATAGTTCGTGGGGCGACATCTAGAGATTTCTTAAATCAAATACATAAATTTGGGTTGATAATTTTTTAGAATGATTGTCAAATCTTTCTATTATTCATTTAACTTATACAGATTTAAACGTATTTTTATTGCAATTAAGATTTTAACTAAAATTGTTATGCTCAATCAGAAAAAAAATATAAATATCTTTCTTAAAATTAGTTGATAATAAAAGAAAATTAACTAAAACGTAACTTTCAAGGCATTTTAGAAATCAGATGTCTGCATCCACCTGTTCTAAAGTTTATTTTTTGAGATTTCCTATAATAGTATGTAGATATAGAGGCGATTGAAGCAATAAAACTTGTCATTTTTTTAATATACAGAGTCTCCCAGAAATAAGTGCAAGTATTTTAACTGGTAGTACAGTTCAACCCCAGAAACACGCCTATGAGGTTTTTTTCGTGAAAAAAAATATTTTAAAATTCGAAATTTTTTGTTTTTTAGTTTTTAGTTAAGAGCATTATATTTTGATGACAACATAGGTATTAAATTAAATTTACAAGAAAGAAAATCCAGAAAAGATCCAGTGGTTCTCAAAATATTAGCAGAAAATCATTTTTTTTGGAAATTTTCAATGAAAAACAACTTCGTTATTTTGGACTTATTTTAAAAACGATAAAGAGAAAATATGTTTCTTTTATCGAGATCTACCACCCCTTAAAATACTTGCACTTATTTCTGGGACACCCTGTATAAAAATAAACTGGTATAACTTAAAAACAGAACCGGACTTGGAATAGGTACAGTCAATAATAAATGTAATTATATTTTTTAGTTAATGTATGATCTACCAATAATATTGAAATATCTAAAAAGTTAAATAAATATGGTTTATTCAATCAATTTCTTTCCCGGGACTGCAAGTTGAATTCACTTTCAAGTTTTTTTTTAAGTTTCATAGTTTTATTCTCTTTTTTAGGCAAGTTCATGAAAAACTGTGTTTTCATTTTCTACTTCTTAATCAGATTTACTAAAAATGTATTTGTAGCAATTTCTGAGATCGGAGAATAATTAAATAAATTGTGGCATAATAGTAAAACAAACTGTTCCATACATGTTGAAAACAGTAGGTAAGTTTCTTCTAAAGCAATCAATAATTAAATAGAGCCTATTTAAAAAAGGTATTTCTTTAAAAATCAGTCTTTTGAGTACATTAGGGTGTGTTAAAGAAAACTTTTTAAACTACTATTTTTTGTAAATTTGTTAACTTACGAATATAAATTTGTCATTTAGCAGTCACTCAAATAAAAAATATTGATATTATTATATACCTATCTAATTATAGATACATACCAGAAGTGCATTTGTGCAATTCAGTAGTACAGAGGTAAGATTTTGTATTTTCTATTAAAGTTCGTGCTTAAGAGTAAATTTAATCCAAGCTTTTGGTCAAAGTTGTATTTTTTTAAAACTTTAAATTTATCTTATGTGGCCAATCAAAGAATTTTATTTGAGGAAAAATATTTTCAAAACACGCACAATACCAGATATACAGGGTCGCTTTTATGTATGTAAACGGTCGATTATTAGGTAAAATATAGGAGGTACCGCAAAAAGTTAAATATAAAAGTTAGAGAATTTTTAAACATCTATTAGCGAGTAATAAATTTAAGTATACAGGGTCGTTCATAAAGTCGTGGCACATCAAAGTTTCATTTTTTTAAATAGAACCCCCTGTATATTATTACATATTTCAATTCTTCCTTCAATTCTAAGCAAAAATTGAAATACACACAATGTACCTTAAAGGTACATTTAGGCTGAGAGCGTCGAGCGTCGCGCCCGCCCCATTGAACTCGAACTCCAAACGCGACGCTGTCTGCCTGAACGGTCTAATTTAAGTTAAGTGAATTGATTCCATTTCGACACGCGGACGCAACGCAAACGCGACGCGACGCGACGCCCGACGCTCTCAGCCTGAATGTATCTTAAAGCAACTGATTCCGAGTTATTGACTTTTAAAAATATCACTTAAACGATTCGATTTAATTAATTTCGATGTGTTTGGTTTGATTTAATGATGCCATTCTGCCGAAACTGTGATACTGTTGTAATGGGTTTTTAAATTCCTATTAGCTACTAGTAAATTTAAGTATACAGGGTCGGTCATAAAGTTGTGTCACATAAAACTTTATTTTTTTAAATAAAACCCCCTGTATATTATTGCATATTTCAATTCTTCCTTCAATTTTAAGCAATAATCGTAATGCACAATGTACATAAATTGAAGAATTGAAATGTTAAACGAAAATTTTGTAATTTCCAGACTTGCTATACTCTCATTTTATACATCTATAAATGCTACCTAGAGAACTAATGTCAAATATTATTAAGTATCACAGTTTCGGCAGAATGACATCGTTAAATGAAACTGAGCATATCGAAATTAATTAAATCAAATTGTTTAAGTGATATTTTCAAAAGTCAATAACTCGGAAACGGTTGGTATGAGGTACATTGTGTTATTTCGATTTTTGCTTAAAATTGAAGGAAGAATTGAAATAGGTAATAATATACAGGGGGTTCTATTTAAAAAAATGAAACTTTGATGTGCCACGACTTTATGAACGACCCTGTATACTTAAATTTATTACTCGCTAATAGATATTTAAAAATCCTATAACTTTTGTATTTAACTTTTTGCGGTACCTCCTATATTTGACCTAATAATCGACCGTTTCCATACATAAAAACGACCCTGTATGTAGTGTTTACCTCTGTAATACATAATTATTCATACACAATCATTCTTTCCAAGTACATACAGCGTCTCTTGTTCAGACATTTAAATTTCAAATAATTGTTTCAGTAGTGATATACCCATAAAAACGAAATAAACCGCTACCGTAAAAAAAAAGCCTGAGCGCTTAGACGTGACGTCATCGACAGAAGGCGACCTGGGAAACTCTTTACAGATATCCACTGATTAAAAATTTTCGTTGCACTAAAATTATTATCAATTGTAACCTTACTAGTGATGTGTTGGTATTTGAGTAACGCGATTTTGGAGCGGTATTTTTTTGTAACGCCGTGTCGCGCTCCACAACAAATGGGGAACCTGTTACTGAAGAACGACGATCATAATGACGACAAAATTATAAATTATTTGTAATTTGCAAATAAATTATTTATAATCGCTCTTGAAGGTAGCTTGAACCGTAGTAACCGCATAGCGACGTGTTTAGCTCCAGCCGTCGCGATTTCGTCGGTCGCCTACAATAGTTACTGGAACTGTACGTAGCGTCGGGCGATCTCGATGGGGACGGCGACGTGTTCGCTCCAGCCGTCGCGCTCCTAGAGTTGTAGTTCCCTGTCGCGTAACTGCTGTAACTGGGCATCGACGCTCGACCTCGGCGGCGCGGCGGCCTACTTCGCTCCAGCCGTCGCGCTCCTAGAGTTTAGTTCCCTGTCGCGAACAGAAGTACAGTACGTCTGCTGGATCTGTGTCTATGAAAAGAATGCGGACAAAAAACATTTAAATAAACAGCAATATATTTTATACGTCCACTTGACGAGAACGTCACCGCAAATCGCTCCGCCCACTCATTTTATTGGCTACTTGCAAATTTGTCGAATTTTTATTGATGGGACGCGTCGTCTAATTTTTTACGAAAAACATCGAGAGAATATCGTTTCCCCTCTCACGGATACCCCGTAGCTACAAAACGGACAGACGTACTGTAACTGGTTATCGACGCTCGACCTCGGAGGCGGCTTACTTCGTTCCAGCAGTCGCTGGAGCGCTTCTAGGGTTTCGTTTTCGCCTGTAGCGATTGGGTCAGTTACTATTGGCGTTGGTGCTCCCGTCGCTACGTTACTTTTGAAACAACGATATTTGGTATGTATTAAGCATGGTATAAAATAGCGTTATTTCAAAGATGAAACGTAAAAGCAAATAAAATAAAATGAAAATTTTATTTGTTTTTATACATTTATATAAGTTTTACTGTTTATATCTATGTTTAAGGTCTGATGATGGCTGGAATTGCCGAAACCGGTCACCAATAAAGAATTTTCTTTGACAGTGGTTTGTGGGACTAGGTAGGTAGTATAAAATAAAAGTAGGTACCAATGCCAGAAATACTACATAAACGAGGACCGCGACACTTAGGAAGTTGGAACCTCGATTACAAAATCGCGGTTTTTTGTCGCGGTATTTTTCTGGAACGGTCGCTATTGTAACGCGACTCATGTGGAACCGGTATTCCCATCACTAAACCTTACCTTTTCCAAAATAACGAAAAATTGTTTAAAAACTAAATGAAATTTGACAATGATAGTCTGTCTGCTCTTGATGACGTATCAAATTTTAACGGCATAACTGATAAAAACTAACAATCAGTTATAAATTATTAAACATCCTCGTTAATATGGGTACACAACATAAAACGTTCTCGGAGTACGTACAATCTCACTAAATAAAAAATATGTATATAAATAGAGCAGTCTAAGGCTGGCTTTAAATATCCAGATAGTTCAGAATAATCTGAATATCAGTGTGCTCTGAATGAGCAAAAGAAACCGAATTTACATTTTCGGTAAACATATAGCCTTTTGTACTAAATTTTTGAGTGTCGAAAGTTATAAAAACGCCATACACACCTAAATTAGCACTCAAATTCGTTAGCTGTGATGGCGTTAAGCGTTAGCATGAGCCCCTCTAAGTTGGCCATCTCTTGATTCAGTTCCTCAGTGGAATGAGACGGTTGCAGTCGTTGTATCTCTTCGGCCGTATGCGGAGGAGGATTAGAAGCGCTTATTCTGGATGGAGGTGTACTTGTTAGAGTGCTTGAGCTGCTGGTGTTAGGCTTTTTGTAGGGGGATGAAGTAGGCCGAACTGTAACTGTCATTTGTAATATTTTAGTTTTCATTTCGTTTAAACAGAATAATCCAAATTCGATCCCTACCATATTGGGATCTCGAAAAGTATAAGAGATACGAGGACGGTTAGGTTTGGTTTGGTTAGGGTTTGGTTTTGCAAAGTTGCACATTGTATCCGAGAGAAAAAACGTCGGATAACAAATCTGAAAGTACTGTTGTGTAGCTGAAAAAAATGATAATAAAACATGTTTTTAGTGCCTTGTCAAATAACGTCAGAAAAAAACTAAAATATCTCCGGAACTACTCAGAATTTTGAATGTTTCTAAATGGCATATTATTAGGCACATGAATACACAACTGTGCCTTAATTTAACCATCCTCGTGTCTCCAATAGTTTTCGAGATCACAATAGATCCGAAATATATCGCACCTTCAATCAGGATGAAGTGGCACAGCACAAGTTATTATTATATTGACCTTAGGTCTCTTTATGATTGAAGATACGCTATGTATAGTCTGCACAACAATCGATCAACGTTACATCATCATTATTTATCTGATATTTGTTTTAAGGTGTGTCCAAAAACAGGTTATATTGTTTGAAATATTTCAAGCACGTTTCGAAACAAATAATTGAGCGCAGTACGATTTTATTTAATTGTAAGAACCTTTATTAGACCCTAATTCTTTTTGGTTGTCTTTCAATTTTTAATTTTAGGCGCACATAATAATTTTTAATTAATATTATAACAACAATACTTTAGTAAAAATTCATATTTTAGTATAAATATTAATTAGTATTTTAGTATCAAACAAATTTAAATTTTATTGGTCAGCGACTAAATTTTTAATTTTGACACTAATCGATATCCGTCAACAGTCAACCACAAAAATGCAATGATAGTTATATACCAGAAACACAGTGATTTATGAAATGGTCGTATCCACGTCTACAATCTAGTTCATTCCGTTCACACAAGAAAAAAAAAGTACAATACAGGGTGAGTCTTAAATAAGTGCAAATATTTTCAGGGCTGGTAGATCTCGATAAAAGAAACACCTTTTCCCTTTACCGTTTTTCAAATAAGTCCAAAATATCCGAGTTATTTTATTTTGAAAACTTCCAAAAAAAATTATTTTTTGCTTAAATTTTGAGAATCACTGGATCTTCTCTTCTGGGTTCTCTTTTTTGTAAATTTGATTAAACTACATATATTGCCATATTATCAAGGAATTATGTTTTTAACTAAAAATTAAAAATAAATCCAAAATTTTTACCAACAAATTCCAAATTTTCAATTTTTTTTCGCGAAAAAAACTTATAATGATGTTTCTGGGATTGAAATGTACTATTCCTAAAAATATTTGCACTTATTTAAGACTCACCCTGCATATATCTAACGTTGACTGACGTTGTTTTACAGACTTGTATGTCAGGGAGGTTCAACTTTCAAGTTATCCTATTATTGCCATAAAAAGTTCGATTATATTAAAGACTTGAGTGTAGTCATTAGCATATTTTCAATCCCAGTTAGTTTTCTAATAAAGTCAAAATTCATTCTTTACAAAAAAGTGGCACAGATAATATCTAGTTTACAAAGAATAAAAATGAAAACTATATACCAATATGTTTCGGTTGAGGTGTGCCAGGAGCCGATACTGGCGGTGGTGCAGGCACAGTAAAACTTTTAAGCGGATGCCCTTGAGCTTGTATCCTTTTTCCTGCTTGCGACTCGGCCAGAACGTTCATTCCAGGAGCGTAAGTACTACCAGGAGGAGCTTGGCTAGATTTAACAAAAAAAAACTCTAATAAGTAGATTATATATATTATATGAAGGATAAGGAAAAAAACCACAATGTCTATTTTATAGGAATTTTTAAGTAATCAACTTAATCTGTTGAGAATACCAAGCCCTTGCCCATGTTAAATTTGTAGAGTGGGCGCATTTAAAAAAAAGTAGGAGCGTCATCAATACTTTGCCGGTAACGCCTCCTCGGCGTTAGACAGTGCCGCGCGAAATAATTTGAAATGTTATTTTATAGCGTTAAAATAAAAATATCTAAGCTCGCGCTCATGGATCACTGAACCGTCGAGTCGCAAGCAAGGGGCGATCGCACTGATGACGCTCCTGGCTCCTTCTTAAAATGAGCCAAACCTAATCAAATAATTATGCACATATACTAATATTTATTTGTATCTTTCACATAATATTTGGAAACATTAACTCAGTTTTCTTTGTAAAAGTCAGTTTTGTGAGATCGTCTGTTTTTTCCCTAACTCATCATATTATCTTTAAGAAGCATATAATACACCATCTGACTATACAGTGAGTGGAAACCATATGGCAACAGCTAAAATTATAATAATTGTAAAACACACCGAGTAGGGAAGTGTTCCATTACTGTAGTAAGATTTATATTAATTGAGACACAAAGCTTTTCGAATAATTCAATCTTGAGACAGCAATAAAGACTCCCCATGAGGTTTATGTACTATTTAATTTACAATTACTCTATTAATCACAACCCCCAAGATAAAAAAGAAATAAATAACCATATAATGGCGTCCGTTCTACAGTCCATTTCAAAATGCTTGATAGCACAGCAAGAAGGGCTGGGGCCATTAAACATCATAAACCATAGGCGCTACAACTTTTACAAATTCCATCAGCCGACTTTTTTTATTTAAAAGTAAAGATTTCAGTTAACGTCTCCTTTTTACTGCCAGAGCTAATCTGGACGGGGCCTACTTTGTTTACGCGGAATCAGAACCGCGGTCCTCGGCCATATCATGGTCAATGGCCTACCGACTTGGCAAGTGTCTAAATTAACTCTTACTCACCAGATATCCGACCTCATCCGGCCTCGAACCGGCGCGGCGTGAATGAGCAGTGTGTGTCAATAGATTTTACACTTTTGCCTTTATTGGACAAGAGCACGATAAGAGTTTCGAACCGGTCACCCGTTCATCCACTAGTATCGCCTTACGATACGACGTCGCTTAACTTCGGTATTCTAATGGGAACCGGTGTTTCGACGTAGCTGGGCCGTTGCCTCCTTTTTTATTTATAAAATAAATTGTTTTGCCCTTGAATGAGCCCACAATAGATTGCAGCAAAAAATTGTTCATTTTTTATTACGTTGGCTGATCGTTCAGTAGTTATTCTGCGACACAATAGCTACCTGGTCACATTATGGTTATGAACCCCGCTAATTTATACATGTAAAAATAAATTTATACTAAATATTTACTGTCAAAAATTACGTGCATTCAGTATCTTTGTGTCTACCGTGCGGTGTTGATTTGCAAACCTAGAGATATTTATTCCAAGCTAGATAAAAGGTATTTTTGATTTAAGACCGAAAACTATACTTTTAAATGTTCATGATTTCTTTGTGCATTAAGATCCCCCATCAGCTACTGTGAGAAGTCTAGTTACGAAATTGTTGTTCAAATGTTACAGGAGTTGGTGAAGCTACGATTTATAGTGATCTATAGTGTGTGAGCCCAAAACATCTACGGGGAGGAATACTCTTTGAAAGAAAAGGCATAATTATTTGGAGAAGGCAATATCTAAGGGACATTCATAAATATCGCAAGGAAGGAATATATTCTACTTAGACAAAACATGGCTGAATGACGAACATTCTGTAAAGAAAATCTGACAAGACAATAGCAGTGGAAGTTCTTGTGAAGCGTTTTTAGAAGAATTAGGATTATCGACTGCTTTGAAACTCCCTTCCGGGAAAGGACGTAGGATGATGAATGGAATAATACAGAATGGACTACCTGCATTTGAGTCTAAACCAACCTAGGATTATCATGAAGAAATGATGGCTGATGTTTTTAAAGATTACATTTCCGAAAAGATAACATAACTTCCAGAAGACTCTATCATTCTTGGAAGAAATAAGGGGACATTGTAGGTTGATTGTCTCAAAAGAACATTGTTTTCATTCGTTTAACAATAAAAACTTTAGATTTCTGGACTAATATGTATGATAATTGTGTGTACTCGCATATTTCAATGTTACTAAAAATGCCAATAACGGGTAAATAAACATTTGTGTTACCATTATCATATTATTTTATCTTGTGTAACAAAAGAAATTTTGACAAAATTTAAAAAATAAATCTTAAAACCCTAATACCCGACACTGGTGCGGTCACTACCCGAAAATATCCTTATTGCCCTATTGTTATACGACGGGTTGCTATTGTTCTCAGCAAATGTACCAGATATGTCCATCTACGAACGTGTTAAAGCTGTCTGAATTTTATTAGAATATATTATATCTCCAAAAATGAAATTGGTTCCATCTTTTTGCATGTCATACTGTACACAATAAATGCTTTTTGCATTTATAATTAATGTTTCGTGCTCTCAAGCTTTAAGAAATAGACTATAGCAAATAAACCTAGAGGCCTTTATGAAAAAAAATCTAATCAATTTACCTTAAGTAAGTAGACGGATTAGAGTTGCTACTCTCAAAGTTTGTACTGCCTGGATGAGCAGAATACACGTTTTCGACTGCAGTGTTATTTGGGGTGGTTTCCACTGACATGTGCGTTGTTCGTGGAACCTGATAATTTGTTCTGGGGTAGTTTGGTCTAGTGGACGGTGTTGAATCGGAACTTGACTGACTTAAAGTCGTTGTATTTATAGGGGTTGCTATCGCTGAAACAATTTTTTAAAAATAATGTAATATTTTGTAAATACATATTTCATTATTATTTATAAAGGATTAACTAAACTGAATGTTAATAAACCTGCTCTAATATTTAAGTAAAATTAGTTAAGAAAGTGACAAGCAATATTTCAGACACTCTAAAATAATAATAGTCTAAGAAAATATGCCATCAAATACTAAGTTTAGGTAAAAACATGTTTTTACGAAATTTCGAAAAAAAGCTCAAATAAAAGTAATAGAGTTTTTTACATAAAAATGGTCGCTATACTTTTTTAGCTCAAATCAAAATTAACCCGTGATCGGGGGACAAGAAGCTAGGGGACAGCTTTAATTGAAACATTTCTCTCAAAGTCCTTACCGTTACTCTGAAATTTGAAAAAAAAAACAATTTATTTATATTTTTCACCTCTTCTTGGGATGAATTTAAAAAAATCTTAATTGAAATTTATAATCTTCCAAGCAAATGGAATAAAAATGTTAAATATATCAATTTTTCAGCAACTTATATTTTTTTTTAAATTTCTACTATACTCTGTTTTTTTTTCTCAGATAAGATTTCGACAGACGATGACAGAAGAAATGCAGATGACGTCCCATACCAATCTAATTTTACTAAAAAAAGTTTCTAATATTATTTAAGTTAACTATGGATGGGTTTAAATATAAATCCGTCATGCGTCGTCTCTTGTTGTTTTTAACAAGTTTTATTGGTTTATTTCAAAAATAACAGATCATATTTCAATATTATTGGTTTGACGGAACGATGAACGACAAACGTACGTCGATACGTATGAACTCGCCTTTAGATTTTTGAGACTTGTCAAAGTGATATTGGTTATAATTTTGTGTCAACTTATGTCAAATATCTGCGAATCTGCGTTTTGGAAGATGATGCATTTTGATTCGTGTTATTACGTGTGTTTTGTGTCTTTTGAAGTCAAGTGGAGAAAAAATCGAGGGGAAATTAACTGTAGACCCAGAGCACAGTTTATAGTTAATATTCGCTTCTAACAGGTAGAAAGTCTTATACACCAATAAAGTTACCATCAATAAAGTTTGTATACCATCTTGTCGTAGATAAGTGCATCTCGTATATGCTACAAGGATCGTACTAAACATATACTACTGGAGTAGCTGGAAAATATCGACATCACAAGATAGGTAAATAATGGATTTTAATACTGCAGAAAAATGTCAAAAGGTACTGGTTTAAAAAAATTAAAATTAAAGTTAATTACTCAACCTTTAAGGTATAAAATTTGGTAAGTGTTATTATTAATAAAATAGTTTGTTTTATTTATGTTGTTTTATTTATTCCTTTGGAATATTACAAATTTGTATTTGTTATAAATTATATTGATAAATATAATAATAAATGCGGGAAGTTTCTTGAAGCTTGAAAGTAAGAAATAGTTCTTTTTTTATATTTTTTTGGGTAAGTGGTGTTTTGTATTAAAACATACTGTTTTTTTTTAAATGAAATAACTCGATTACATTTATTCAATTTTATACAGCTTTTTTTCACAATATTTTGAAGTAATCACTTATCAGTCAAATTTTAAATATATTTCCTATGATTTCCTGCTATGCGTTCCAGTTGTACCAACTTATTTCTTTGTAAAATAAAATAAACTACTTTGAAATTAAAATGACACACACATCTATCACTGTCAAGGATCTTGTCGTTGGACAGACTATCATCCCCTAGCATCTAGCCACCCTCTCTTGGTTAATTTTGACCTGAGCAAAAAAAGTATAGAGATCATTTCTTTGTAAAATTTGACGCTCCACAACTTTTTTTTCTAGTTCTTACCGTTTCTCCAAAATTTCGAAAAATTAATTTTATTTATTTATTTCAAATAAATCGAATTTAAAAAAATCTTTCAAAATACGTTTTTGGTTCTTTCAAAGTTACTTATATCAAAAATTGAGGTTTCTACCAAAACCTCGTATTTAAAGGTCTATTTTCTTGGACTACAAGAGGACATTTAGTCTCCCTATCGCATCGAGAAAAAGAATGACAGTATACCATTGTCTCTTTAATTTAACAGTAAATTGGTTTTTCTGCAATTTTTTGGACTCTCGTCTGTCTTCTCTTCTTGGGCAGACAGTTAAATTGAAGTATATATAATTTTTAGAACTATGTACATATGTTTAAAATTGATAAGGCTTATTGAATAAGCTGTGGTCTAGAATCTACAGTGTTGATTTTAAAAACGCGAATACCAAGAAATTGATCATAAAGATTACAAAGTACTTTTCTGATTTAAGTATATATTTTTTAACTGTTTGGTAATATTAAACTACTGAATGTTAACGAAATGGATTGCAAACTAGCACAGAGAAGCACAAGATACTTACGCTCTCTGGGCGGTTTAGAATCCACTGGAAGTGTGATCTTTGTTCTGACTGGTTTTTTGAATTTATCTTCACCTATAATAGTGCAAATGCAAGCAATATGTGCATAAAATAAAATATGTGTGGTGTGAAAGGTTTAACGTATTTACAGATACATGCAGTAATTATAGAGCAAGAGTTCACATGACACATTTTATTAGTTCTTGAACTAGATTATGGTAAAACATTAAAAAAATACTTTCTTTAAAAGATAATTCCTAACATGAAATTATTGAATGAACTTGTAAAGAATATTAAAATGCATCTAAAGAAATAATGGATATAAGTAAGTATAAGCATAAAGTCATTGATTATTATGTGAACCTTTACTTTAAATTATAGATGTTATAATTCACAAACTAGAACAAATACATGTATTATTTGAATGACATTAACTATTATTAAGCTCGCATCTTTATTCCCATGTAAGAAAAGTTATTTTATATACATTTAAAAAATATATTGTTTTTTCAAAAAGTAAATCAATTGAATATATCATATGATCATTAAAAAAGTAAGTAAGTATAAGCATAAAGTCATTGATTATTATGTGAACCTTTACTTTAAATTATAGATGTTATAATTCACAAACTAGAACAAATACATGTATTATTTGAATGACATTAACTATTATTAAGCTCACATCTTTATTCCCATGTAAGAAAAGTTATTTTATATACATTTAAAAAATACATTGTTTTTTCAAAAAGTAAATCAATTGAATATATCATATGAACATTAAAAAAACTTACCATAAGTATAAGCATAAAGTCATTGATTATTATGTGAACCTTTACTTTAAATTATAGATGTTATAATTCACAAACTAGAACAAATACATGTATTATTTGAATGACATTAACTATTATTAAGCTCACATCTTTATTCCCATGTAAGAAAAGTTATTTTATATACATTTAAAAAATACATTGTTTTTTCAAAAAGTAAATCAATTGAATATATCATATGAACATTAAAAAAACTTACCATAACTAGGAACATAACTTCGTTTGTCTAATGAATTGCTATGAATACTATCGTGCGTTTCGTAGTCATTCCCTGCGACACTACGTGGCAGTGTTAGCGCACCACTGCTACTAGCGCCATCGTGGTTCGAGTGCCGCTTTTCCATAGCTTTTAGCTCCATCTGATCGTGATGAATCCAGAGATCTGGAGGTTTTACTCCTTGATTACCTACAAAAAACGAGAAACATTAAATCAACAATTAATCTAACATTTTATATACACACATTAGTTACACTTACCTTTTTGATAACCTTTCTTGTCTCGACTTGGAGAGGCTAAGTTAGTCTCTCTTCTTCTACAGCAAAGGTAGCTAACCACAACAGCGCCGGTTACTATTGCAAGAGAACACCCACCTATGGTAGTGTACAGTAATACTTTTCTTGAAAAAACACCACCACCTTCTAGAAAATTAATTAGTATTTTTAAAATAAAATATATACAATATAATAAAATACTGTTTTATTATATTGGCAATGTTCTGGATATACTGCATTTTTCAGTATAGTTGTTTAAAATGCCCAACTCAAAAATATAGATATGGATTTGGTTTATTACATTTTTATTTCAATGAATAAATCAATCTTCATCCAATTTTACAATACCTGTATTTCTTATTTGACTCTAATTTTATTTTAATCATTAAAAAAAGGCGCCTGTCATATCGTTAGAACGGTTTTTAACTGATTTTAGAATCAAATTCGTAACTTAATTTTTAATTATCAATATACAGCATGTCCCCGGATTGTCTTGACAAAAGAAAAAACTTTTTTATTATTGACATTTTGGGAAAAATGCATTCTTCATAAAAAAATTTTGCTTGTTCAAAAATGGTTAATCCTGCTTATACTTTTCCAAATTTCCCTACCGTTTTAGAGAAAATTAAAAAAAAAACACGAAAACAGTTGAATTATTTAGTTTGGGTCCTAGAAATCAAAAGGCGTATGGTAATATCATATAGATTTCATTATTTGACAGATTGTTATTAATAGAATATTAATTAACATCATATTTATTGCTGTTTTAAAACGTTAAAGAAGTACAAAATTTATTTAGTTCATTTCTACAGAAAGGGTGATAATAGTTTTCGAAAAATGTGAAAAATATCAGGTTAACAACAACAGTAAAAAATATGACGTTCATGAAAATTAATAATAACCATTTTAAAAAGGGCTGGAAAATATATATTTTTGATGTATTTTTTAATATCTTTGAAACTATCGAAATATATTTTTACTCATATCTTAGGATTATGTAAAGTGATCTGAAAGGAAGTCTTGCTAAAAATGAATGCTAAAAAATCATCCAGATACTTTTTTGAGCCACCCTATAGAAGTTAAAATATTCTCTTGAAATACATTCTGGTACATACTTTAGGTTTGCACTTAAACAAAACTCTCAACTTTTTTATTCTAGGAGCTACAGATGCCCGACGCACTATTGCCGGACCCTGTATATAAAAAAAGTATATTCAGAAACGTTCAAATATTTGCATATTAACGCTATAAGAGCTTGTCTTATTTTGTCAACTGATTACTGCCTGCGCAAAAATTAACTTTTTCTTAAATGAAAATAATCTCGTAGATTACATAATACAAAATTCAAATTTTAATAAAAAATAAAATAATAGTAAAAATGAATGACTAAAAAATGTATAAATTAATCTAAAATAATAAAAACTAAACTACCTGCTGATCCTTGAACTGGAGCATGCCGTGCAACATCTAATAAACAAAAACAAATAAAACAAAAATATTAAAACATAATTTGCAATAAAACAAGAAAATAATCACAAAATAATAATAAATCTTTGAGATAAAAAAAATTAAAAATATTTTCATCCTAATAAGGCCATAAATCACTAAATTTATTACTTACTTTGCCCGGTTCTGAACGAGACTATATTGGAATAGGGCCCGTAGCCCCTGCTATTCCTGGCCTGAACTTTAAAGTAGTAGACCGTGAAAGGTTTCAGGTCGTATATAATGGTTGAATGATTGTCGCCCTTAATAACCAGCACTTGCCATTCGGCCTCCGTTTTCGTCTTATTGTCCGTATAAAGGATGACATATCCTGGAAAATATTACACGTAATAAAAGATCACATAAACGCGTAGGGCGTAAGTATAAAAAATGGTTCATTAAATTCATTGTTTAAACGAATGTCACGACAAAAAAAGGTTTTCAGTATTAAGAGGCTGAAGATTTAATGCTGGTCGTTTATTATGTCGTGATGGTAAAACAATCCTGGATATAAAAAGAAAAGAAATTGGGATTCGCATTAAATCAACTTGTTATATTTTTTTTTCTTCTTTTTGAAGTTTCTAGTTGGCAGTAAAAAAATAGCATTAATTTTTGTTGCAATTTCAATATTTTATCAATTTAATATCTCTCACCTGTTATTCGACCATTAGTAATCTTCGGAGGTAACCAAGTCAATTCGACCAATTGTGAATCCTCATCTTTAAGATGAACATCGACATCTCTTGGTGCTACGTTAGGTGGTAATTCCCACGTTCTGTTTTGAACAACCATACTCCATGAACTTTCTCTGCGACCTGACATGATTATTCAAGTATTTATAGGAACATTCTTATTCAAGTATTTATAGGATAATCTAAATAAGAACTTACCTTTTACTAGTTTTACTGCAAACTCGTAGAGCGTATTCGGTTTTAAATCGTTAATCATCGTATTTAGATCTGTTACGTTGATCATCTTCGGTTTTGTTGATGTTTCGGAAGTGTATTTAACAGTATAATATCGGTTGTCTCGTACGATCTATAATTAATGACATCAAGTTTTATACAGTGGACAAAGTGCTTTTTTAGAGTAAAATAACTATTTTTACAAAACCGTTTTAAATTGTGAAATCATAGTTTTGTCCCTGAGAGACTATTTATGTGGCAATAAAAACAGGTTGTTATTTCGTCTTCTTACAGTGCCATGATCTATACAGAGCGTAGGCAACCTCTAGCATATACTTGTGACGTCATCAGTTTTTCACAAGTACACGGGACAGTTTATCGCCCAATTCGAACGGCACTATTTGAGAGGTTGTACTAAGTAAATATACTTAAGATGGTTTGTCATTGCCTTCCTTGAGGTGGCGGCTTGCTAGTTGCTCTATTTATATATAAATAATTTTTTTTTATTTAAATAAAGCGTCCGTACTAGCCGGGGATCAAATCCAGTAGCAGTGGTAGACCGATAGACTATTGCTGGAGCCACGACCGGGTCACAATAAATTGTTATTTAAAAAGTTGTTGCCGGTTGTTATGTAATGATCTGTTATTTGAAAATAACAGTTCACAATATTTCTTACTTCCAAAGAATAGCATACGAAAATAACAGTGCAGTATAGTAAAATAACAGTGATCAATAGTTTGTGATGGTAAGTCTGGATTGCTATGCAACGAACCTTTAATAGAATCACAATAACTGACGATTTCAAAAAATAACAGATATAATAGCAGTGAGCTCGCCGCACCACAAAATTCATGTTCCTATTATTCTTTGCATTCGAAAATGTGTAACAGTTGGCTACTTTTGATGTAGAATTGTAACAGTTGTGGGTTGCAGACATAATGATTTCAGTGTAAATACAGAAGTTTGAGGGACTTTTAGGGTAATAATAGTTAAAATATTATTTCTAAATAAAAATATCAGTTCCAAATATTACACGAAAACAACAGATTTGCCACCAATGAATGGCAATTTTTCATATTGCCTATCAGAACTATTTAAAATAAATAAAAACTAAATACCTGTTGTTTCAGTGTTGGATCTGTCCAGTACAAAACTACAGAAGTAGTGCTTAAGACATGCGCTTTCAAGCCTAAAGGCGGCATCAGTGCAGCCGCTGGTTCAGGAGGGGGCTCATCTTGAGTTTTGGCAGTGGCGTATATGGGAGGACCTGGACCCATACTGTTACTCGCTCTTATACTTAAAACGTATTCCGAGTTTGGTTCTACGGGCAAAACAAAAAATGTAGAATTGTATATTGATCTGTATTAAGATCTTTTACCTAATCCTTCTATCACATAGGTCCTATTTCTTTCATCTAATTCATGTGAATAAATATCTGGTACTCCTTTTCCCCATCCAAGTATATAGCTACGCACTCGAACGTTTTGATTTGTCGGTGGTGACCAGATGACATATAATTTATCAAAAGTAGTTTTAACTGCAATTTATGATGATAATATTATAGAAAACTATATGTTCAATTATAAATTGACTTACATTTCAATCCAGATGGCTGCCCTGGCACTGTACTTTCGTCCAAATCGTTTTGAAATGTTTCTACTTCGACCCAGTCCGAAGCCGGTCCTGTTCCATTGACGTTCATTGCCCAGACTCTGATTTGATAGGAAACGCCCTTTTCTAAATCTTTGATTACGTAATCCCGGTCGTTTGCTGGGGTAGTATATGTGGTTCCCTTTCCTTTGCCAGTTTTGCGATATTTGATTTTGTAACCCACTATGACGCCATTTTGGGACTCTATCGGTGGTGGTTCCCATCTTACGAGAATGCTCTAAAATACGTAACGTAATAAAATATTGCAATATGTGTGTTGCGATTTGACTACTTTTTGAGTTTCTTTCTATAGGAAAAAGCAAAAGAGAAAATATTTTGATACTTCAAGTGATACAGGGTTGCCACCTTTTGTATTTAAAAAATCGGGACAGCACTAGTGCCGCCTATTTTCTTAAATGTAAAATTTTATGTGCCCATCGGATTTTGAAACAATATTTTATGCCTTAGGCTTGATTTTCATGCATCCGTTGTCCGATGATACGTTGATACGATATTAATTTCATTGGTTGTATTTAAAGGCTTCGATTGGTTAACCGTTTCTAACCAACCGAAGTCTTTAAATTCAACCAGTAAAATTAATATCGTATCATCGTATTGTTGGACAACGTATGCATGAAAATCAAGCTTTAAGCTTTAACCGTTTCTAACCAATCAAAGTCTTTAAATTCAACCAATAAAATTAATATCGTATCAACGTATCGCCGGATAACGGATGCATGAAAATCAAGCTTTATTGCGTTAACTTAAAAAACTATTCAAAATTTACAAATAATTATATAAAAATAAAAAATGAAAAGTTGGAAACAAAATTAGTAAACAATCAATTAAATCTAAAACACCTAGAACAAAATCAAAAGTTTCAGCTGTATAATCCGTATAATTGGCTTTATTAGTTTATTTAATTATTTTTAAATGAACATTTTTTGACAAAATAAACACTAATTCACCACAATACACCAAAACACTTTAAAATATAACATACTTAGTATACGCAAGCATAAAAAGGCCTTAACGCCTACAAGTGCGCTAATTTCCATTAAACAATATTTTTAACACTGGACGCGCGCGTTCGTTAACCTGTTTAGCATTATTAGCAGAAAGTATAAAAAGACTAGTTTTAAAAATACTTTAATAAACATGTATTTTAAATAAATTTTACAATTTTATTGTTTAATAAAAACGTGTATATTAAACAAATACAAAACGAGATATAAAACGCGAAACTTTTGGATCAAAATCGGGACTGTCCCGACAGAATCGGGACGGGTGGCAACCCTAATTGAAGATGTACCAAAATATTATTGTTGTTGTTTTCTCTTTTTTTACTAATTGTTTAATAAATGTTGTTAACTTACATCTACGAAATTTAGACTTTGGACAGAGGAAAATTAATTTATGATCTTTCTTTATTTTACAAGAGTAATAATGACGTATTGATTCCTGAGTAGTAATGGGAAAAACCGATTAATTTCAATAATCGAGTACTCGAGTATCAAGCGATTGCAATAACCGAGTGATCACTCGAGCGATATATCACTCGTATTTAAAAATACGGTTTTCACCCGTCGCATGTTGTAAGTTTAGTACTCGTTAACGCAAAGCGCCAAGCAGTAAGTTGCGTGCGCAGGGCACATATTCTTTCGGTAATGAACGGCAAGTAGTAAGCAGGGGGGTGACACTGAAATAGGAAAATTGGAAACAGTTATTAGTGTCATTCCTGTCATTCTCCTCACGACAAGTATGGCCGCCTAGACAAGGACAGCATTGTTTTTGTCTAACTTCACAGTTTAGAATTGACAGATTTCAGTTTCAGAGACAACTTCTGATTTGTTCTAGAACAAATTAGAAAATATTCGACGCCATTTTAATTAATTCCGTTAAGTTTCGTTTTGGAAGTTCAATTTAATATTTCGACTAAAATTTATAAATATAAAAATTTATAATAATAAAGTATATAAAATATATATTACATGAAGAATCCTGGAGAAAATGACGTTTCTGCAGTAGTAGGTATGTCCCATGTATATGAAAAATAGGTAATAAATAAACACTGTTTTTACATTTTTTAGATGCAAGAAAATGGTGTTGTAATCTCTTTGATCGGCGATTTTTTTGAAAATGGAAACAATTTACAGCAAGGTAAGATCATTTTTAACTATAACCAACGTTAGTTATCTCCAGTATGTGCGATTTATTGTCAATAATGCAATAAATCGGACTGATAATCTGATTATGCTATCCGACTAAAAGTCTCTTTTTGCTTCTTTTTGATTTATAAGCCAGGTCTCTTTGGGAATAATGGACGCTTTTTTTAAACAGTATATTTATATTTTATACCTATTGATATTTTTACATTGTTAATTTTAGTATAAAAAAAATTGTTTTTCTGTTTTCAGGTTTTTGTATAAGGCTCCCGTTTTCATGTTCCTGTGTCCGTTTTCTGTCCTTGAAGTCTGCGAATAGGTGTGTTTATTTACAAATTACTGTAGGTCATGCTTATACCACGGCATATAAATCACACGGCAGGCTAACTCGCTTTGGCGGGAACGCTACGCGCATATCCTCGCGCACGCCGCCATTTGGGTTTCCATCAACAGAAAGTAACCAGTGTCGTAGTTTTTTCAGCGACAACACACAGTTACGGCAGATTCGAGTCAGTAGCGTGCGGCTTAATTTATTTTGATTTTTTTCTTGAGTGATATATTTGGTTTTTCTAGTTTTATTTTCGTTTCTTATGTAATATAGTTGCCAATAGGTGCCCGGTGGCGTAGAGGTACAGGCTCTCGTCTACCAATCTCAAGGTAGTGGGTTCGAATCCCACACCCGGCATTTCATCAGCCGACAATTTTTATTAAAATAAAAATGGTTTGGGTACCTAGGTCGACTCAGCCTTAAATGAGTACTTGGGATTCACAATCCTGAGGTAATAATAGGCGGTTGAAGCGTAGTGCTAGCCACATTACCTTCCTTTGTATACCGAACGGCTCTAGTATGGCAAGCTGTACCTTGCTACTCCCAAGGCGTCAAACGCTATATACGGGAGCTATTATTATTATTATGTAATATAATTTGTTTTAGTAGTTTTATTTTTGTTGTTCAATAAAAGTTTCTTTCTGTTTCCTAGAGATCCTATTAGGTATGTATATATGTGATTAATTATTTTAACATATTTTAGTTGTGAAAAAAAACAGTAGTATACATATTAGGACATTCAGCTAAATAGGAAGATCTAATTAAAAATCTTAACAAACTTTAATATTAGTAAGATTTAATGTTAAATATTTAGTAAAATAAAATTTAATCTTGTATCTAGAATCTAGATATTAAAAATTAAATTTAAAAATCATTATATTATTCATTTAAATATAATTATAAAAATAAATAAAATGAGTATATCGAAAATAAGTTAACAATACATTTTTAGGGCAAGAACATGGGCAACTGCAGCTAATGGAGAAGACTTGATTGAAGATATAAATAAGGCCCACAAGTACAGGTTGTGTTCTGTTCACTTTGAATTTAAAATGTTTACCAATTCACTTTGTAACCGTATAAAATACAATGCGGTACCTATTCAATTGTTTTCGGTCACTTCCGGTTTCACCGGAAATGTATATCGAGTTCATTCTAGGATCGCTTGCGTTCGTCTCTTGGTACTCGTCACTTGCATAGCTTGCTCATAATCGAGCGATGTCGGTTATTTCAATAATCGAGTATTCGAGCGAATTTTCGCTCGAGTTATCCCATCACTATTCCTGAGGTGCTTGCAATACGTCATCATTAATTTTATAAACTCTAGCTGCAATACTATTCAAAATATGTACTTGGTCATGTATTAGCCTACTTTTGAGTAATTTTCATCATTATCTCCTAACCCATCATCCAGAACATAACTTTAGGACGACCAGGCCTGTATACGACATTTAATTAATCTTTAATATTGAGAAACTTACAGTGCTAGCAGGTTCAACGGTCACATTGCTGGGTGCTTCGGATGGCGGAGCACTAAAGGTGCGCACTAACTTTTCTTCTGTAGCTGCACCTGCACCATTGGGATTCACGGCAACAACCCATATACTGTATTCAGTATAAGGGTTTAAGCCACTTATATCAGTTGAAAGTTCAGTTGTATCTAGATTGTGCTCAACTGATGAAGTAGTCTGAAACAATAATATTATTTAGGTATGCAAAACATCTTTAATTGGTGATGAAGTAATTCAAAATAAACTCATTTATCTACTTCTTGTAACTATGAAAAATAATAAAAAAAAATGGTTAACAGAATGTTGCTGAATGTTAATAGAATTTCACAGTTATGGATATATTGTTAAGTTATTAGATCACTTAAATAATTTATACACAATCCGTACCTCCATGTAGTAGATTGTATATCGCAAAATTTTTCCATTTGATACTTCTGGGGGCTTCCAACTGACGTGTATATTCCTTGGCGTAGTGCTGTAGGCTTCAAAGTTCTGAGGAGCACTAGGAACATGCTCCTCGGATAATGTCGTAATTGTGAGGGTAGTTGAGGAATGTCCTGGACCATTGGCACTTATCGGTACCACTCGAAAATGGTATACTTTACCAGGTGATAGGCCGCCAATATTTATTTCTTCTAATTTAGACCTTGATGTGTTTTGAAATCTTTCCCTGCAATGAATTTAAACATTATACTCTAATTACAACATTTAAATAAAAACTATATATTTTTTTAAATAATTTTTTTGCTAAGATTATAAACGGGATAAAAACCCTAAGCAAGTTCAAACAAAAATTAATTAAATAGCACTAAACAACAAATTTAATAGCAATCAACTCTAATTTCTTCAACAAAAAAGAATAGACAAAAAATGCTGTATATCTATGAAAAAATGAATTATAATGTTCAGCATTTTTAAAAATAAATATTACCGGGATAACAATGACGTATTCGGACTTGGCAAATTAAGTGGTTCTCTTCCAGATAAAAGCTAACCAATCATATCACTTTGGCACGCATGAGTAACCAAAAAGCGCGAAACTGTGTTATTCAACTTTCACGTTATTTTGTGACAAAACACGCGTTATATATAATAAAATCAAGGCACTAGGCCAATTTCAGTGAACACCAGTAAAAATATACAAAGAAAGTGAAAAAACTTAAATATTATTAACTGTGGGGATCTTTACCATTGTATAAAAGAACTGGAATGTAGTCTTGTAATACTATTTTTATATACATGCATTAGGGACGGCAGCAACGCCAGAAAAACACTCCCTTGTCAGTTTTGTTTGACATTTCACTTATTAGATTATTCAAATTCCCGCTAAAACGTATAGTTGTTTTGGATCGCATCCGCTGTAGGGGAAACAAGGACAGAGGGCATTTTCGCATGTTAAGGTCAGTAAAATCCTCAAAGACAATCAAAGATTAAAAAATCTTCAAAAAATAAAACCACCTTTTTAGAAAAAATACCGAAAACTGTTTAAAGCGTTGTTTCTCAAAGTTATTACTGCGATCTTGTTCGTTGTTAGGTTAAATTTAAATCGTATTACCGCAAACCCGAGATAATTGTGGAAAAGTGGTAGTAAAAAACTTAAGTACTGTGTGATGGATTGCAAAAGCCAACGTGGGGTAAAACATCGGCTTCCAATCAGTGATCCACATAATTTTCCAATGTTGCATTAATATTGTTATCCATGTTATCCATATAGTTTGTTTTCCTTTCTTGGGTATGAGGTTATATAATTGCAAGATGGAAAACTTTTTTTATGCAACGTTTCGCTCCAATATAGTGGGCTTTTTCAGGCACTTTATTCTAAAAACTTGAAGTCGTCTTGCTAGCACCAGTCTGTATAAATGAGTGTAAGTGAGTGTGAGTGACCCTCACCCACACTCATAAAGTGGTCACACTCATTTTTATAGTTAAATAATCTATGTCAAGTGAAATGTCAAACAAAACTGACAAAGGAGTGTTTTTCTGGCGTCCCTAATTCATGTATATAAAAATAGTATTACAAGATTACATTCCTTAGTCTTTTTTACAATGGTAAAGATCCCCAGTTGATAATATTTAAGTTTTTTCACTTTAGTTGTATTTTTTACTGGTGTTCACTGAATAATTGGCCTAGTGTCTGGATTTTATTATATACAACGCGTATTCTATCACAAAATAAGGTGAAAGTTGAATAACACAGTTTCGCGCTCTTTGGTTGCGCATGCGTGCCAAAGTGATATGATTGGTTAGTTTTTATCTGGAAGAGAACCACTTAATTCGTCAAGTCCGAATGCGTCATTTTGGCGCTGCAAGAACAGCGCCAAGTTGTACAATATGATTGGATAAAAACGGCGTCAGCGATAGCTATGAAGATCGCTGTCATTTCTTATGTAAAATTGTACAGTGTCGCTGAAATGTATGGAAAAGACCGATTATTGGGTAAAATATACAAGGTACTGCAAAAAGGTAAATACAAGAGTTATAGGGTTTTTAAATGTCTATTAGCTAGTAGTAACTCTAAGTATACAGGGTCGGTCATAAAGTTATGACACATCAATTTTTTTTTAAATGCAACCCCCTGTATAACATTGCATATTTCAATTATTCCTTCAATTCTAAGCAATAATCGTAATACACATAGTGTACCTAAATTCTACCATTTCCGAGTTATGAAGTTTTGATTTTGAAATGTTAAACGAAAATTATGTAATTTCCAGACTTGATTTAATCTTATTTTTTACATATATAAATGGTAATTTGACAACTAATGTCAAATATCATTAAGTATCGTAGTTTTCTTCAGAATGGCATCGTTGAATGAAACTAAACGCATCGAAATTTTAATGCTGACAGGGTATAAGTGATATTTTCAGTCAATAACTCGAAAACGGTTGGTTTGAGGTACATTGTGTGTATTTCGATTTTTGCTTAGAATTGAAGGAAGAATTGAAATATACCATAATATACAAGGAAAAAATGACAAAAACAAGGGAAAAATGAAACTTTAATGTGTCACGGCTTTATGACCGACCCTGTATACTTAAATTTATTACTCGTCAATAGACATTTAAAAACCCTATAACTTTCATATTTAAGTTTTTGCAGTACCTTGTATATTTTCTCTAATAATAATTGACCGTTTCCACACATATCAGCAACTCTGTATAGGGAATGTCATTGTGTGTGTGTAATCGTCATTACCAAGCCATCTGGACGCCGATTATTTTCGGTGATACGGTATTTGTATTGTAGTATAGCTTTCCAATCTAAACTTGTTTCATTAATCAATGTTAGTGGCATTCATTAGTGGTTAAAATCAGTGCATGCTATTTTTTTGTATGCTCCTTCTTTAGTGTTTTTTATTTAGTAAACATGGTGGATGTGCATCCACTATCTATCATTTATTTTTATTAAAGAACACATTAGCAGTTTGCATTTTCGATCTTTTCCGCGATTTCGTCTATTGAAAACGTCTCCTCTCTTATTAAACAGACGTTAAATACGAATAAACTAAAATAATTTCGAAACGCTAGAAAAATAAACCCACCTGTCGCTTCCCTCTTGCCGGTAATAAATCGAATACGCTTCCACGTTGTTGGCGTTCTCCAGGGGCGGCTTCCAGCTCAGGATCACGAACCTGGCCTTGGTAATGACCGACTTGAGATCCAGCGGCGCGCTGGGTAGGCCTTCGGACACTTTCCGCTCCGAATTGCCAGCTGAAACGGTGTTCGGAAAGGAGAATGCAGATTGGATATCGCCCAGGTTAACTTCGTCGTTCGACTCGCTGCTCTTTAGCGAACTGAAAGCCCGGTGCGGATCGTAGTCGCCACCCTGACCGCTGCCGCCCGATTTGGACAGATGTCCAAAGTCCACGTCTCCCAACTTGCCACCGTCCTCGGATTGCAGCGAAGTGAACAGGGACATGGAGTGTTTTTTGTACGAGGAGTCCAGCGGTCTGGGTTGGACTTTTTTCGATCGGGGTTTCGGGGGCTTTTTCTTGTCGACTAAAGGCGTGAGTGTGACGGTGTACGATGTGACCAAGGCATGCAAAATGAGAACGTAAGAGATAGGGAGTCGGGTGAGGGAGAGGAGAAAATAATAAAAAAACAAATTAATAAATAGAAAACAAAAAATAATATTAAAACTAAGAAATAATAACTTGTACCACTTAATGGATGATGTGTGATGTGTATTATACAGTGCAACCATTTTAATCAAACCAGTTAATTTTAAAGACCTTTTTCGATTAACGAATATACAGGGTGTCCCAATATTCCGTGGACATGGAACTACTGAGTATTTTTTTTAACCAAAATAAGTTCATTAGACACAATTTACCTCTACACAAGAGTGCTTCATTTGTCCGTTAGGGCATCAAACTTTAAAATAATAAACACATTTTTTAAGATACATATTTCAAGAACCGATATTCGTATTTGAATGAGATTTGAGATGCCTATGTTTTTTTAAGCGCTTTAACATTTGGCTTACACAAAAATCAAGAAAAAGTACGGGAAGGATAAAAACTACCCACACCCCTACATAAATTTAAGTATAAATATTTGCCAACTTCATCGACGACCGATTTTTTTTTCGTAAAATGGTCCTAGAATGTACTACATTTATTGTCTCTTGTAAAAAACGCCATTGTGCATACTTTTTGAAAAAAAAAATATTTTTCCAAATATGAATTCTAAAAAATATCTGTCACATCAAGTTAAATGTAGGAGCATAAAATCTATTATGTGCTAGTAATCTAATTGGCAAAAATATCGAATATTACGTTACGTTAGTATCACAAATGATATTTCATAAGCTTCATACATTTTAAATAAATTAATATTCGGGTTTGTTTTTCATTGGTGCACTCTAACGGATAAACGAAGCACTTTTGTAGAGGTAAATTGTGGCGAATTAACTTATTTTGGTTAAAAAAAATAGTTGTTCTATGTCCACGGAATTACTCCTTGTATATCTTGTAGATCTGCTTTGGAAAGAAATTCCCCAATTTTTTTTTCCCAAAAACTGTTTACTACAAATATTACAAATTACAAATATACATCTTAACTTGTAGAAATAATATAAGTATCTACTCCTTTTGAAAGAAAGATGACTACTAAGAAAAATATCTACTCCTTTTGCAAAGAAAATTACACATCACCATAACCATCTACCCCACATTGGTTTTGGACTATTTTTTTTGTTGATGTACTATAAAAAAACTTGTAATTTTCTGCTGTTTACATTTTTTTTTGTAATGCAGCCTCTTAGTAAAATTAAATGATGCTTTAGAATCATGTTATGCCATGCTAAAGCTATGCAGGTATCAAAAGCTGATATTAATTCTATATGTTTAATCATTTGCCAGTGACAGTCACCAAGTTAAATATTGAATCGCGGGTTCATTTAGGCGAATTTCATAGCTTTTATAGAAATATCGTCCATATAAATATATTTTATCCTAAAGTTTTCTGTTTTAGAAATAACGCAACGCGATCAATTAAAAAAAATACATAGAATGTAGAATGTAGTAATGTTCTACTACTATATTATTCAGGGTGGTCTAAAATGTATTCGGGAAACAACATCAGCATATTTTGCTAATAAAAATAAGTAAAAAAGTTTGAATAAATGTTTGTTCTAAAATGTTTCGTTTCGGAAATACAGGGTGTAGAAGTTTCATTTTTATTTCGTTTTTTTTTTCAAATAATCTCTGAACTAACGTCAATATTTGGATGAAAATTGGTGCCTGGGTATTTTTTTACCACAGAAATTGTTTTGAAAAAATCGAAATAAAAATGAAAATTCTACACCCTGTATTTCCGAAACGAAGCATAACGACACATGTATACGAACTTTTTTATATACTTATTTTTATCTGCAGAGTACACTGCCCAGGTTTCCCGAATACAATTTGGACCAGCCTGTATAACAAAAATCAATTATTTTGATTAAATCTCCAAGTCACTGTTTTTTGCCTATTGCATTTTTTGTTTCTTGCATCTAATAGGTTCTTGAGTGCAACAAGAATTTCGTTTTAGATTTAATATTATTATTAATTTTATTTTCTGATAGTCTACAAAAGTAGTTAAATGTAAAGTTAATCACCCTATACTTCAAGAACCAATTAATTTTGGAACATATATCACTTAAATTCATTCAAATTAAAAATATATTTATTTATCTGTTAGTTTTCCCTATAATAACTATAATTTCAATTCAATTAAACAAACGAAATCAGCAATCTGTAATAGAAATTAATTTTCTGAAATTTAAGCATTTTCAGTAATTAATTTAACATTAATGACACAAAGGTCATAATTGTTATTGTATCTTATCATAGATGTTTTATACATATACAAAACTTTTAGATTAATACGTAAAAACTGTAAATGCATGATTGTATGTCATAATTTATTAGTTAGATTATATTTATAAAATTATCCAATTAGCAATTTCGGCATATCATACATAGAGAATTTCATATCTTTTATATTCCAGTTTTGTTTTTAATATAATTTTTCACGTATAAAATAGTATTATAAATATAAAAACTCGTTTACTAAAAAATAATTAAATAAATACGCAATTTTGCAGTTATTAATGTGTATGGGTGGTACATAGTGAAGATAAATAAAAAATATATACAAATAAAATAAAATAAAATCATAACAGTCATAATATATTTTATATAAATATTATTAAATAGAATGAATTATAGAAAATTTATGTAAATACATACCGGGGTTAGTTAAGATTTTCAGGCTAGCTGCAGCCTGGATATTGCCAGCCGGATTAGTTGCAAAACATTGAAAAATTCCAGAATCAGAAACAAGGAGTCCCATTATTTTCAAATTATTTCTAAAATATAAAATTCAAAAATTAAAACACATATATGTAGGCATACTTATAAAAATATCAACATACCCATTTACAAGTTTATAGTATTCAGAATACTTGACTAGTTCACCGTCTTTGAACCATTGAATTTTCGGTTCGGGTATACCATATACGCTACATTCTAATTCTATATCTTTTGTAGAATATTCTGTCCTATCTTCGGGTTTCTTTAAAAATCTAGGAGGCACCTAAAAAGAAATTAATTTAGTGCATGGCGTAAACCTACCACCATATTCCTATTAAAGAATATTGAATAATTATAGACGTAAGTATATATTATTAATAAAAATTGAATGATTTAGGATAAAACATAGAAACGTATTATATGTATTTGATATCAACTTAATTATTATAAACTTTTAGTTGCGTAATCGAGGGCGCGATTTTTAAATTCATTGTTGCCAACTAGTGATGGGTTGTTATTTAACTATCTGTTATTTTATAACAATTATTTATAAATAACATAACGCAACCGTTACTACTTCTAAAAAATAACAGATATAAAATAACGACACGTAGAGATCGGCCGCTCGTGAAACGAAAAACGAAGTCGGCGCTCTGCATCACCACGAAATTCTATGCTGCTCGAAGCAATTCCAAAAAACAACTAGTATGGATGGAAAACATGTTAGCTTTTTTCGTTTTCCTGTTATTACCGATTCTGAACCGTCTTAGAATTGTGATGCGTATGCGCAGAAAGAAATATGAAGACATTATTTCATTTGCGCATGCGCTGGAGAGTTCTAGGACGATTCAGAATCGATAATAACAGGAAAACGAACAGACCTGTTATTTCGTCAACCATCGATACAGGCGGCGAGACAACGGATAACGGAGTGGGGAAAGCGCTACGGCGAACGTAGCTGCTTCGGTCGATACCGTCGATGATTTACAACAGCTTAAAAATAATAGGATATAAAAGAAGCAGGTTTTTTGAAACAGTTGCGGGCATAACGCCTGGCGGTGGAGATAACAGGTGTGGGAAAGGAACGCTGCTGCATCGGTCGATTGTCGATGGAGGCTCGCAACGGGTTGGAGAAGCAGTCATTTTAGATAGGTTGTTTTTCAACCTGTTACGAGCATAACAGGGCGGTGGTCGAGATAATCGGTGTGGGAAAGGAACGCTGCTGCATCGGTCGATTGTCGATGGAGGTTCGAAACAGGTTGGGGAATAACGCATCAGTTGTTTTAGATACATTCTGTTTCACCCTGTTACGAGCATAACGGACGGAGGTCGAGATATTATGGCGCTGTATGTTTCAGTACTTACTTATTAAGTTTCAATATTTAGGTATTTATTTATTCTGAAAAATTTTCAGAATATTATAAGATTTTTTAAAAATGTATACAGGGTGTTTTGAAAAATCTGGTCATTGATTAATCACGATCCTGCTTAAAGCCCTTGACGTAAAAAGCTGATTTTTGGAAAACGGATTGACTTTAGTGTGTAGAGGTTCGATAAGAAGGGATTTTTCGAAACTCGAATTCTAAGGGGGTGAAACTACTCTCAAATATTAGAATATTTTTTATTTAAAAACCGGTGAGTTTTTCGGAAAAACTCTTAAAACACGTATATTTTATTATGTTGTTTTACATATTTTAAGATTTTTTAAAAATATATACAGGGTGTTTCATAAAAAATGACCATTGAGTAATATTCTGCTTAAACTGCTGGGCGTTTAAAGCTGATTTTTTGCAAACGGATTGACTGTGGGGTTGAGGTTCGATAAGGAGGGGTTTCTCGAATCTCAAATTCCAACAGGGTGAAAACGCCCCTTAAATATTACAATATTTGTTATTTAAAAAACGGTTAGTCTTTCGGGAAAACGCCTGGACACGCATAATTTATTTTGTTTTTTTTACATATTTTGAATTTTTTAAAAAATCATACAGGGTGTTCCAAAAAGTTGAGTAATTGATTAACCACGGTTCTGCTTAAACTGCTCGACGTTAGAAAGCTTATTTTTGGCAAATGCGAGAAAATTTTATCCAGTTTGTATGTTAATGGAAATTCTTGTTTTGCTTTATCATCACCATTTGAAATTATTAATTCGATGCGAACAAAGTCGCGGGTACACGCTAGTTTAAGTGTAAAATTAATTCGAACTCTAGTGTGTAGTTGGTTTACTTATGAAGAATATACTACATATTTTCTTATATTGCTATTTTTTTACCGCAAATGGTAAAATCATAACTAAGAGCTTCTCGCCCGTCGAGTGATATGCACCCTGTACACTGCTACGCAATTCAGGATCTACGTGGATCGAGGGGCAGGGCGTAGGTAGACCGCAATGTGTAGGTATAGACGAGTGGCGGAATTTTGGCTTTTTTTATATCGCAATTTGTAAACAGCGCTTATTTGTAAACAACGAACGTTTTTAGAGAGGTATTTTAGATAACAATCGAATTTAGAAATGTTTTGACACCCTGGAAATACTACCACCGAGCACGTCATTGTTGCAACTTGCAACTGCGTTAATACGCCTGGCGGTGACCGTCTCATACTCTTTCAGATATTTAGCAGTAAAATAAAGAAACCTGTTATTTTTAAGCTGTTATTTTAAGCTGTTTTTTATAAATAACTATAACAGTTTCAACTGTTATCTAAAAATAACAGTTTTGCGCATCACTATTGCCAACCATGGCAAATATATACTGTATTGTATATTATAATATATGCCGTACTGGAATTTAAATTACGCGCTGGGGATTCAGGTGGTAGCTCTGCTGTAAAAATGTCTAGTTGCCACATTTATTTATTTATTTCCTGTCATTGTCATTCGTTTTTTACACTTTAGTAGTAGTTTTACACGAGTTTTTGGTTTAAATAAATAGTGTTGTGATGCTTTAACATTGTTCTCTGTAGAACCTTTTTTAGTGCGAAGTGTACAAGATTTAAAAAACTCATCGCAACTTTATTAGAATATTTTGAACGGGAAAGCGGTAGTAACGGCCCTTTATGTCCCTTAAGTGCTGTTAAAAAGGCGAGTTTTGTTAATGTAAATAATAACTGTTTATACATTTGTAATTAATTTATTTTTTTTTCCTAAAATATTTTGATTAAAAGAAAATATGTAAAAGTGGACATCGCTGTGCCGGTCAAGTTTAATTACGTGACTAAAAGTTTATTTGGTATGAACTGTGGATATCTGACATGCTATACAATAACTAGGTAAACTAGTTATTAAACTAAGCTAGTTAATTAGCATAAATAAATAAGAATTTGAGTTAGAAAAATATAAATAAGTATACGTTTCTACATGAGGCGTACAACCTAACGGTAGGATTTCCTAACTGCGTCGAGACGCATGCGTCTGACGTGTACGTTAGATGCGTTGAACGCGCTGCGGCAAACGCACCAGGTTGTGTTTTTCTATCAGCGTTTCATATTAAAATAATGTTCTGGAAAAAAATATTTTAAAATAGATTTTTAAGCTTAGAAGGTTTTGAAATAAGGGACCACTCAAAACCTATCTTAACAGTCTTCTAGGAAGTGTTGCATGGCAAGAAGCAATGGTATCAAGATTACGTTCTTAAAATTGTGTAGATTCAAAACTTTTTTTAAATAATCTAGTCTCGGTTTTTTTGTATATCTTATCGCGATTAAAATAAATAATAGTAAGACCAAACCCTGTAAAAAACATGTTTATATATTTTGTTGATACAAACCTGTTCTCTTTAGTTTTTCAGAAATATGTTTCCATATGTTCTCCCGTATTTGTTGATCTTAATGATCTTTTTGTCCGCTGTCATAAATAGCAGGGTGTTCAGCTATGAATTCTATTAGTTGCTCATCCTCTTCAGGCGAAAATTGTAACATTTTATGTTTCATTACAGTTAGTTGATTTTTCCACTGTAGACATGTTTGTTTTTATTATAAAATATTAATAAAAAAAGAACGCATACACATTCCTTATACTTTTCACTATGAAAACGCAAAGCATGTGCGTCTAGACTCCTCTCGAGGGCAGTCATGCGATTGCCGGACACTGAAGCGTCAGACGCTCACAAAGGAAATCAGTTGTACATAATTGCACTGAACCAGTACCTCGTGTTTATCGCATGCGTCGAACGCATACGTTTCGATGCAGTTAGGAAATCCTACCCTAACGAAGCTTAGAGCGGGGAGGACCGCGAAGCTACTACTGTCCGTTCCACTCGGCTCTACGCGTGCAGCTATGTTAGGCCACGGCCTTATAGGGTACCCTAAAATATTTGAAAATGTGTGGACTTACTTGAATTTCAATAAGGGCAAAAGCGTCTAAACTATCTTCTCGGTTTTGTGCTCGACACTGATAAGTACCGCCATCTTGTTCTTGGATTTTCGTAATCCTAAGGGAACTAGTCGATCCGACCAAACTAAATCTACTATCCAAATCGCTAAAAATAAGATTTTTTACTGGTAGAAACAAGAAAAAATATTAAAAAAGATTTAAAAACTTAAACATTTCTCCCATATACGTTCAATTTTACACATTGAATCGTATTTTTTTTGTGTTTCGAAGTAGGAGATATTAGCCGATTGGGCTCCTCCACATGCGCAGTTCGCTTGACCTTGACATATGTGGCTTTCAAACCTCCTTGAGTGATTCCAGAAAGAACCTTGTTGTGAGACCTTAAACGACCTTTAAGGTTGACTTTCAGATGTATTTGAAATGCGTTTGTGTACCCTTCACAAGGAGCTTGATGGACAATCATGGTGCGACACGATGTGATAAAGACCCCTGACAATGTGGCAATTGTTGATGATGAAGATACTGTTTTCTTTTCTTTCCTCTCTCTCAGTATTAGTTTTCTCATCCATCGTCAACATTCGCTTTAAATTTGGTACTTGAAGCTGAGCCGGGCGAATGCTGTTTCTGCGATATTCTTGATTGTTCTTCATTTTCTTGATATTTCTATTGTCTCCACTCGTTTTTGAACAAGATCTTCAAAATCTAAGATCACTGTAGTTCGGATCTTCGCAGTCCGGAAGGGAATTTAATATTTCCTCACCATTTACAGAAGACATGTTTTTTTATCTCTTCGGGGCAATATCTGAAGACTAATGCAATAACGTATGAGGAACTCTATCTTATAGCCGATCTCCCCCAATTGTTACACCCTCTGCGCATACTATGCAGTATTATAGAATAATTCAGGGAATTTTTCAAGCCTATGGCAACATCAGCATTCTTCCTTAGTCTAGTTCTTACCTGAACCCACTAGTGATCTATAAGTGTATTATTTGTATTTACTTTGTTCTAATAAAAAAAAAAAATAATCACAATAATTATTGTAAAATAGCCTTTTATTTTAAACCATTTGAAAAAAAATACTATAATTACAACTTCCTGTCTTAACCAATACACTAATTATTTTAGAGACTTAATATAGTCCTCATTCTATGTTCACACTTTTTAGACGCTCCTCCCTAATCTGAAGTTCCAGTTGTTGTAGTGCAAGTGTTTCTCGCGCTTCCACTACACTCAATTCAATTTGCTTCTGAATTCGTCCAAGAACTGTTCTTTTTTATTCGCACCACTTGGGCGAACAGGTTTCGCTCTTCCCTCACTCAAGTAGTCGTCGAAAGTCTGCTCTTCTTGCTGTTGCTGCTGCTGCTGCTGTGGGTGTTGAACCGGTTGCGACTCTTAAGCTGCAATTGTTGGAGCAGCTCGTGGTGAGGTTGCTGTTCTTGTTTTCCTTATTACACTTAGTATTACGTTTTTCACCACCACTTTTTCTCTTATAAGGTGTCTCCCCCTTCAGTATGTTCTTCAACTTTGATCCGGATTGTTTGTTTTTTACCCCCTACTGGAGATGGTTTAGGCTGAACCACCTGAATATTTGATATAATATTCACTTTTGGTTTTTCTTCTCCTCTTCCACCACTTTCGCAAATATGCGATCAAACTCTTCACTCTCAAGTTGGAAATCGATATCATCACAAATTATATTTGCCATTATAGTCTGCGTATTAAATAGGTTATGTTCGGACATCTCTCGCTAGGAAAACTAATGAAATTTATACTGTTGAGCTACTTTTATACACGAACACCCCACTACAAACTCTCCCTATACCTGATGCATGCGGTTTGAATATTATTCTTCAATATGTTTCAAGGGTAAAGTTACATTAAACAGAGTGTATCTTAAATGTTCGGTTATATACTTTAACAACCCAAAAAGTCCTTAACATCAAGATCTAAAGGGCGCGTTCAGGGACGGTTAGCGGTTGCGTAAGTGGTCTCTTTTACACACAAAAAACAGTCAGCCGCTTAGCAAAAGTTTCAGCGCGACCGGTCAGCCGCTGTGTCCCTGAACGCACACAAACTCTCGATATTAAGATGTAACATTGTTGCCATTTTAAATGTTCTCGACATTGGAATATTGAAACTGGTTGCAGTAGGGAAGCTATTCACAAAATAGTGGGCGGAGTTAAAGATAGTAGGAGGAGTTAAAATCATGGTGGGGTTTTACTTCTACTTAAAGCTCAAATCTGTGTTGTATTCTATCATATACTGTCACTTAGTGATACAGTACATTACTAAAATCAAACCAGTGTCCATTTCTTACAAGTTAACTATGGATTTGTGGAAACCAGTAAAAAACTCCAACACCACCGCCAGCTGACATATCCTGGGATGAACCATGGGAGACGGTTCCAACCAAAACCAGCCGATATGATGCCTCCATCAATACCAGCTGATGTATCATGGGACGAACCATGGGAGACGGTTTCAATAAAACCAACCGGATATGTCGCCTCCGTCAATACCACCAGCTGATGTATCCTGGGACGAACCATGGGAGATAGTTCCACCAAAACCAGCCGAGATGACGCCTCCACCAATACCAGCCGACATATCCTGGGACGAACCATGGGAGACGGTTTCGCCAAACCAGTCGATACGACGCCTCCACCAATACCATACGATATATCCCTGGGATCAGCTGGATGAGACGGTCCCACCATCCGATTTATCGTGGGGACGAACCAGGGCAGGGATACTGCCCCAGAGGAGTATTATAGGGTGAATCCTATAATACTACCTACAACTGCAAGGACTCAATAAAAACAGAGAAATATTTAGGAGAGCGTGAACGTAAAAGACACGCTCTCTTTAATAATTTCGCAGTGCTATCTATATAATTTATAGTTTATTTTAATAATTATAATTTATAGTTTTTTAAATAAATAAATATTATTAATACATTTTTTATTTTTTTTAACAGCCCTAATACACCAATATATGCTCAGAGTTGAAAGAAAATCATATATAGGTAGTGTTATCATTAACTTTGAAAATCTGCATTTTTTTTTCTTCTTTTAAAATGAGTAGTTAAAAGGAGTAGCTAAAATGAGTTGTTGGGTCACAATGCCATCTTTTTTTAATCAATGTTTTTTTTTTTTTGTTAATAGACCTAAACACACTAATATATGTTCAGAGTTTCTGACTTGAAAATGAATAGCTTCTAAGAGAAATGTGCATTTTTCTTTAAATTGTATTTGAAATTATTGCTGACTTAAGAATAAGATATATTTGTCTGCAGCTGTACAGACTGCCAAACTATTTTTCTTCTTTGTTCTAATTTTTTATCCTACACTATAAAATGCAGTGATCTCAGTTCATGTTTGGTAGCTTTGTTAAGTAAGTTTAGTTTAAATGTATATCTATGGAATAATAACACAATCTCTTTAACTTTTAGTAGGAATTATCTTAATTAAGTATTAAATTCAGATGTGAATATGAACAATAAAAAAACAACATAGATTTTTTTTGGGGAACAAATATGATTTTATTTAAGTAATATAAAATAAATCACAGTTAAATAAGCTTTTCTAAAACATGTTAACAAAAAAAAAATACATAAAAATTTAAACATTTACAAAGCACAAATGCGTAATGGACACAGTTATATACATTTACATATTCTATTTTCAATTAAAACTAATATCTACAGATAGGACTTTTCAACTTATACGCTTTCATCTATTTCATCTCGAAGCATCTGTTCGGCGATATATAAAAATATATTTAAATTAGTATCGGGATCTGTTTTATAAAACTCAATATCTGTATGCCCCCAAGGTAGAGTTTTTGTTGTCGTAGGAATTAGATATCTTTTGTCATCTCTAGAATTAAGAGCCACTCGGTTGGTTATCATCGTGTAAACGTCGTGCAAGTCACTTTTGAAAGATTTCATTTTACGAAATATAAGACCACCACGTTCTACTACTTTCTTATAATCGTCTACAGTTAAATCTTTTGCGATTATTGGTTTTTTTACACCTTTTGCCTTTTTTATTTCAGTGTTGACTGAGGCCACATAATAAGCTTTGGCACCTGTGCCATAGAAGCATTTTATTGGATCAGATGGAAATTCATCTTTCATTCTACCCAATATCGATTCGCTTTTCTTAATGTTGTAGTTGTTATTAAATGCATAATTTGATGTATCAAATTTTGTTGGGTTTTCAACCATAATCTGGTAAAAATTTTCCGTATATATTTTTAATATCAATGAATCCGTGTCAGTGTACAATAGAGAAGCGTCAGCGCCAAACTTTTTTTTAATAAAATTATAGAAAAAATCATAAATTACAACTTTAGACATATCCAATATTGAAAATCCCGTATATATAGGTTTATCATATAGTATTTTCAGTCTACCCATATGAATTGCGACTAAATCTTCAGTAAAAATTGAGCTGGTTTTAAAATTTGGACGAGCAATCAAAGCCTGGGCTCCTAATCGTTTACCTTTATTTTCCCAATGAGTGACTAATTTAATATCTTTACGATTTTCAACATTTTCCATGGTTTTTCCAAAAACGGCATTATTATATAGTTTAAATAAGTCTTTTTTAAATTTAGTTTTAGATTTATTCCTTAGTTCTGTATTAAAATCGATATATTTTTTTAACCATCGTGACTGCTGGAATTTTAATACCCTATGAATTTCTGTTACTATCAGATCATTTTTTATGGCTTGTTTGAGTGTTTGATAATGAACAATATATTTTCTTTTATCGTTTAAATTCGGAATTAGTTTTGTTAATTTTGATGTTTCCGTAGGTGGCACTATATTTTCAACTAAGAACGGAAGATCTGAATGTTTATCGTGCAAGTGCTTAGGATAATGTATATCAACTTCCAAAACGTAACCGTATTTACTATCGTCTTCAACATTCATTATGTCTAAATCTATTATTTCACGTTCTGTTAACCAACGGAAATCTCTTAATGGTAATGGTTGAGACATACTATATCCATATAAATTTGTTGCGTCTAAATACATAATAAATGATGAAGGTTCTGAAGGATTATAATTTGGAAGAAACTTATTATTTGCTATATGTTTTCTTTCCGAACACTGACTTACACCACCACGAATACCGTTTTTAAAAAAGTGAATCATATCAATATCCGTTAGCAATTCTAACTCTACCTTGGTCATGCGCAGCATTGAGTCAAATGACAAGCTGGGTAAACTATAGTATTGAAGTGGATCCAATTTATGTATTTTTAAACTTGTATCGCGAAAATTTTCGAAAACATCGCACAGAAGAAGAGTATCCGATTTTAAGTATAAATCCGAATAATCCCCTAGAGTTTTGCAATTGAATAAGCGCCAGACATCCTTTGCTCTTTGATAGTCCACATCGCTAATATGTTCGTTATTTAAATCATCGTAAAATTCATGTTTAGTAGGAAGTGAACGGTTATTCATTTTCTTCAAACTATCCATAAATGTATACGGAAATACACCTTTTTGACGCATTAGGTCAAATTTTTCTTTCTCCGGAAAATGCTTTTTTGTTTCCTTAAAGTTTTCAATTGATAAACCATTTCCCAAATTTGAAAGAGATGTAGATAAAAATTTAAAACTGTCTATAAACCTCAATTTTAAATATTTCTTTTTTACCTCACCCTTACTACCTACATAATCGTCAACGTAAATGCTTTTTGTAAACGAGACATACTTTTCTTTACTCTGGGCAATAATATCAATTTTGTCTCCATGACGACATAATTCCTTAATGAACATATGAGAATCGTAGCCGCTTAAATTGTGAAAGACAATGGGTACAAAGTTGGGTAATTTAAAATTTATATTACAGGTTCCGTGAGCTGCACCTCTGTATTTTCCGGTGAGATGGCAGTGGTCCCTAACTTTTTGCTCTTGGATATCAAATAATCTTTCACATATAAAACATGTTTTTGCGTTAATAAACTCAAGTTTTTCTTTATTGCTCAATGGGATCATCTTCTTAAAATCTTTTAGATATATGTTGTAAATACTTCTTAAATCATTTTCTATGTGAGAAACAAACTCTTTAGCGGCGTCCTTACCGCGATACGTCTCAAATTTAGAAAAACTATCATCGAAAGAACATTTTATCAAATAAGCGAACGAATAAGGTTCGTGTTTGACGCTTTTTAATGTATATGATTTTGTTGAACTTGGCGCAACAGTAGCAATCGGTTTAAGAATTGATTCAAAATCGGCATATACTACAAACGGTACCCTTAATTGTTTTTCGATGTTTTCGAATTTTAGAATGTTTTCGGGAACGCATTTACCGTATTTATCAAGCTTATGGGTCACAGACGGTATTGATGTGTACACGTGATTACAGTCATGATTCTGATGCAATACCAAAGCATGTGCTGAACTGAAATGTAATAAACAACCATCGCAAAAGTAAAGCTTATGTTGATGAGAGTTTATTTGGCTGGAAACAAGACGAGACAAGTTTTTTATCCAGCAATAATGTGTTTTAACACAATTTATATTGCATATATGTCCATCACTATTAACTTTACAATCTTCAATTAGTAATAGTAAATTCACATGTACCACCAATTTCCTTTCTGTGTACCGCAATGGACCTACAACTTCCCAAACTATTTTATTATTTTCAATTTTGCTTTCGAGACCATAAACGTTAACTGATATATTATTCAATTGTTCAAAAGTTTTTATATCGCGCAAATTCATTGGAAAATCCAAACCTGCTATATTTAACAATGTTGCAAAATGTGGATATGAAGATAGTTCTGCAATTTTAGACTTAGCTGGACACAAGGCTGACGTTATGGCCCACGCAAAACAATACTGATCCATGTTTCTGACATTGACAACGGCTTCTTTTCTCCGAATGGGAGTTGGCAACTCAACGAATGAAGATCCACCGATAGGGTTAAACTTGTTAACGTTAATTTCTAAGTACATAATTTTTTGTAAGGCCCAACCTAAAATAAACTGAAATATTATTCTCTATACATCTTATTTAACTTTAGTATCTATAACATACCTGAGTCTTTTTCAAGAAATTCAGATGCTTGTGTCATCAATTTATCGACAAACCATAAATATTTCTCATCTAAGTCTGAAGACCCATCGATAATTTGATTAGCAGTATTAAATGATTTCTCGCTACTATAATTTTCAGTGGATGGTAAAATATAAGAACCAAATACTTCCATGTTTACTTTGATGCTGTTATGAGCAAAAATTATGTTTTTCAATAGGTCTAACACTGTGGATTTTATTTCATTAAAGAACATTTGGTAATCTATGTAGACATTAACTGCACATACTCGATAACTAACGATCCTACATTTAAATGCAGTTTGAATAATTTGGACGTTTTCTGATAATGGAATTGCTGCATTATTCCTATGCTGCAATGTTCTCTCATGACGGGATATCTGATTGCTGGGAATTGTGATATTACATGACGTACAGGTGTGCTGAACATTTGATATTGATGGGTGTAGAGCTTGACGTTTAGGTGTTGAAGGTCCAGGGTCGGTTGCTTTTTTACACGATTCGGCTTTATGGCGCCGCATATTATAACTTCGCGTAAACGATTTACCACAAGCTTCACATATATATAACATTTTGTTAATGTAAACTTTATAAGTAATTACTGAACAACCTATACAATGCTGCACACACCAAAAATATATACGTTACAATAAGATTCTGTAGAGGCATGTCAGAGTTTAAATAAGACCTCCCCCCCCACCCATATTCTCCTAAGAGCATCGATACGCACGATTCATTCCAAAGACATCTGGTCTTTCAAGATCATACATCAAGGTCCTTGTGAAGGGTACACAAACGCATTTCAAATACATCTGAAAGTCAACCTTAAAGGTCGTTTAAGGTCTCACAACAAGGTTCTTTCTGGAATCACTCAAGGAGGTTTGAAAGCCACATATGTCAAGGTCAAGCGAACTGCGCATGTGGAGGAGCCCAATCGGCTAATATCTCCTACTTTTCGAACATGTTGTTAACATTATTCAATTAGAATACATTGTATTTTAATTTAGTTATGAAGTTTACTAAATTACTTACTTCATATCAATTGGATATCCATCTATTAACCATGAAATGGATGGATTGGGATTGCCGTTGGCGGCGCAGTCAAGGGATATATTCTGACCTTCAATAACAGTGGATGTCCGGGGCTGCGCTATAAACATCGGAGCGGCACTATGCGCAGCCTGTTCCATATCTCCATTAATATACATATGCGCTTTGTTACTTAATTTATAAGAATTTAATCCTGATGCGTTACATCTAAAAATACAGAAACATATTAGTAAAGTGTATGAATCCTACTTAATTTTAATAGATTTACAATTTTGCTTAAACCGCTATAAACAAATTTAGCATTTTGTACAGAAGATATTTAGAGCCACTAGCTCAGACAAACAATATACATAGACAAACCTTTCTGTACAAAACGAAGATTTCATTGGAATCGCTAAAAGTAATCCGAAGAAAATTATAAATTGAAAAAGGATGAAAAATTTAATTCCCTGTATCTACAACACAAAGCAGAATGTTAGGACCTATGTCAATATAACAAGTTAATCTTATTTTCAAGCGAGGTATCTCCCCATGAGAGATAGCATATGTTTTTCTAAACATTCTGTATTAGTCTGGGGTCAAATCAAACTGGAAATAATCAAACTGATTGTATATATTTTGCTTGTATACCGGGTGCGTCTCAGAAGTGTCTCAACCTAATTACTTATTTTATTTCTACAGATAAAAAAAAACGAGATTTAGTATGTTAATATAAGACATAAATTAGGATTGATTGACGTATTCAATTGTTTTCGGTCACTTCTTGTTTTACCGAAAACGACCCCCGGTATATTTTTACTTTATTCGATAGAAAAGGACATATCATATATTTATTTTTGAGATTTTCGCTTTAAAAAAATCGTATTTTAAATTTCAATTTAGAGTGCCATGGTTGTGTTAAACAATAATAATGATTGTGTCAAACACTAATTTTTAATCAAGAAGCCTTGGAAAAATAGATTTCATCATCTAATGTTTTCCGTGTCTTGGGCTAGTCGGTTAAAAGATGCCCAAATTGCTTTTTTAATCATATCTCTGAAATGGAATAAAGGTGGCTCATTAGCATATTTGGAAAAAGCATTTTTTTACGAATAATTTGGTACCACCCAGTAAATATTTCGAGTGAAATTGTCGTTATGAACTGGATGTTACAATTTCAATTAAACTATCCAAAAATGTCAAAAATTGTGTGTCAATGTGTCAATGTCATTCTATTCAGAGTGCCATTTTCTATCGAATTTGAGAGATATAGCTATCGAATAACGGGAGATTATACCGAGGGTGTAATTTAAAAATCAAAAGATGTTGTTGCTTCTGGTGAAACAGGAAGTGACAGAAAACGATTGAATACGTCAATCAACCCTGATTTATATCATATACTACCATACCAAATATCGCTTTTTTATCTGAAAAATAAAAAAAGTTATAGAGATGAGCCACTTTTGGGATGCACCCGGTATATCGAATCAAAAGAACCAGTGTCATAGAAAATAAATAAAAATCAATGTATATGGTTAGTCTATCTTTTATACATGTCCATTATGGCCTCCAGCATTAAACTGTAGGAAAAAACGAGTTACCTGTATGATCCCTGATCGCTTTCCATAACTTCGTCGATCTCCAGAGCTCCGGAGGGCAGTACGGTCATTCGTAAGTCGTCAATTTGTAAGGGTCGTTCGTCTTTCAACCATCGTATCCTCGGCGATGGTACGGCGTCTACGTAACAGGTGAAATGAGCTCTTTGGCCAAGGTATACGGTTATGTCGCGTGGTTCTTCGTAAAACCCAGATAACTCTGAAAATACAAATAAAACAGTGTTAATCACAGGATAGAGCAAAAGTTTATAGCACGAAACTTATTAGGAGGTGTCTATAAATTACGAGAGGCGTTTTTGAGGATTTTTTGACACCGGCTCCCGCTTGATGATTTGCCGCGAATTTGCTGCGTTTTTTCATTATATAGTACACAGTACTCACATATAACACAAATCCGTATTAACCGAGCGACGCCGTATTACTCGAACGTCAGACCTAATATATCAGGTAAATACGGGGAATTACGGAGAATCCCGAAATTGCCGCAGCAACACAAAGTAGCGAAGCAACACAACGTAGGTACATAAAAAACAGATTTTAAAAATCAATCAGAATTATCCGAGCCGTCAAATATCCGAGCTAGGGTACAGCCAAAGAGGATACCAGGATACAGCCCATATAACATATAATCGAGAGTCTACTGTATATCCATTTTTAATGGGTACCTACTACTTTCCCTTTTGTGCGTTTTTTATTCTTGGTAAATATTTATGAATAAGTTTCTTAACCAAATTAAGTAACCGAAACTCGGAGCTGCGTTTTTAAAAACTTTTATTTTCAAAAGTTACAGTGACAACATTAAGAGAATAAACAGGAATGACAATAGTGTGAGAACATTTTGCTGTTATATGTAAATAATGCTGATTCGGGAGAAGACGATCTTCTGCAGCTATTCTTGGCATGGCCTTGATTTGCCGGATACATAACTCCTTCCTCCTTAAGAATCAAAAACGACGGAGTTGATTTTTGATGAATTTGGCTTCAGCTCGACATCTTTTCTTTCTTCTTTTTTCGTCTTCCTGAAATTTTGGGCAACAAATCGATACCAATTGATCAGTTTTCTTCTAAATAATATTAGTAATATGGCAAATAATATTAAGAGTTCCATTCCAATATATAGAGTCCCACTATATAGACTGGTATATACAGGGTCGTCTGGTAAAGTCAATTGGTTTGCCATGTCCTTCAATCAGTATATCTCTTCCAAATTTATTTTGGCAATATTGGGTGTCATTAGAATTTTGGATATATTGATGTTGGATATTTTAATTTCTGGAAGAATCAGGGTTTTTCTTTTTTTGACTTTCTCGTCGTTGAAAAATTTCTTATCGTGTATTTGGATTTCGCAGGCCTCCGGAATTTTGACAAGTACTGCTTGATTGATTTGGATGTATTGATCGGTGTCACATTTTGCCAATATTCTTTCTGTCTTCATGGGGAGAATTAAAACCATATCTCTCGTTATTTGTTTCACGATTGGTTCTTCGATGTTGACCTTAAGGGCTGTACAATTGTCCATGCTTCGGTTGTCTAGCAAGTCTTCAACACATTGGTCGTGGGGGTGAAATTCTTCGACGCAGAAGTATGTTTCTTCTATGGATGGACAAATTTCGGCGGCGAATTGTCTTCTTGCTTGGGTATGTGCCAAATAAGGGTATCGTGGTATAAAAATGGCTTGATCTCGGATAATTGGAAATATATGAAAAAAGGAAAGGGTATCTGGTCTCAGTATTGGAACATGTATCGCAAAAATTAACTTACTTGGGTTCCCAAAATTTGATAATATGATAGAAGATAGAATAGAATATTTTTGAATTTTGGTACTTCTGATGGATCATAAAGTTTGACTAAATAATTCAAAATTTCCTTTAAGTTATTACTCGATAAAACACTATTATGCAAAGCATTGACTTTTGAAAACATGATAGCATCTTCCAAGTTGTCCAAAAATAAGATTAAATTTTGGCAATCTAAATTTAGCTGTGTTATAACTCCTTGGAAACTAAGATAGTCGTTTAGGTTACTTATAGTTTGTTGTACCGATGATTGGAATGTTTTTAAGCTGAACTCTAATATATTTTGATTATTACTTAAAGTTGTTATAGTTTTATTATAACTATCTATTAAGCCTTTAGAAAGAAAAATTTGCATTTTCATTTCTTTGATTGTATTTTTCTGATTATTTTCTAGTGTAGAAATAGCCTCGTCATAACGTTTACCATCTTTTGAATCTAACTGACCAAATACACTTTTACTTTTACACTGGACGCGCGTTTCGCTAACCATGTTAGCATCATCAGCAGATGATTATAAACTGACAAGTTTACAATCATCTGCTGATGATGCTAACATGGTTAGCGAAACGCGCGTCCAGTGTAAAAGTAAAAGTGTTTTGGTGTATTGTGGTGATTTAGTGTTTTTATTTTGCTGTGTAACACCAAAGGTTCCAACCCTCAACTCTAATGACCAAATAGCCATTTATTAATGTGACCTACTACGTTTATTAAACCTCTTTTTTCTCGAATATGTGGGTGTAAATTTTCGAGTCTATTAGATGTCTCCTGAATTAAATATTCAGTTCTTAAAAGTAAGTTTTCTGCTAAGCCTATCATATCACGGCATGTATTAAATGCGTTTAAATTATTTAAATTATTTTTTAGTATAGAAAAATATCATTTAACCCAAGGACCAGGGCCCAAATTCTGTAACTATGACATAAAAACGTTACGCTTTCAAAGCGGTGAGCGAAAGTATGCGATAAGCGGAACGTCAAGCAGTCGATTTTGGTATTCTCGTTGCTGTGCCAATCGTTTTCTGGATACGCGTTGAGCGCATATTGACAGCATCGTAATTTCGCAGGTATCTAATAGTCAAATGTGACTAAAACAATGAAAAATGTTAATGTTACGTGAATTTTACAACCTATTGTTGAGTTATGTCAACCTATTTTTCTATGGATATGTCATTATTCTTATTATACGAGGGAAATGTTGAAAACGCTTCACAGCATTTTCGATGTTTTGAACAATATTTATAGCTACCAACTTGTAATTTGTCGATTACTTATTTAGGAATTTTTAGAACAAGTAGTAGTTTTCACTAAAGAGCAAGATAACGCACGAAATCACAATTTTTTCGATTTTCACTGACAGTTCGACAAGCAAAACGATCCTTTAAGGCAACCGTTTTTAAAGCGCTTAGCGCAATCAGTAGAGAGGCTAACAGGCTAAGCGCGTCAGACGAGAATACCCAAATCGTTAGTTAAGTGCGCGCTCAGCAAAAATTAACGTCATATACGCTGAGCGTCTAAAAGCACTTAGCGTTTTCTAAGTACAGAATTCGGGCCCAGGTGTAGTACCGTCCATGCTGCTAGCTTCACCCTGTAAAATAATTTTTCTTTCTGTCCTACAGCTGATTAAGTTCAAGTGGGTTTATTGTTCTCGGGTACAATTTCAAATGGCATAAACTTCGTCGAATGGATTTCTATTACGGGGGAATTTCTATTAGTACTTATTTGCTAAAAATTATTATATTTAATTATAATGATTTTAAAGATGTGCCTGTTCTTGCAGTTCGTCATTTTAAAGTTCTTTCAGTTCTTGTTCCTGCAGTTCGTCATTAGTTATAATTTTCAGGTGGATAGGCTTGACCATAGGCGTTGTCATTACCATTTCTTCTGGTGACTGTTTGATTTTTAAAGATCTTACGTATTTCTTCATTTGTTGGCATGTCAAAGTTCATCGAATCTTGTGCTAAATTTGTTTCGGTATTCGTTTCGTAGTTCTTTATTATTACATATGGTTTACTTATTGTTCTGTGTGTTAAGTTATTCTTCTGACTACTTTCTTGACATAGTAGTTCCTTAGATGTTTTTTTATAAATTACTTGAAGTAGAGGATCTTTAACTCTGGATGTAATTCCAGTTCTTGTTTGAATGTTCTCTGGTGGTTGTTTTATTTCGATATTTGATAATATTTCTCTACGTTTTCGTTTTGTTCTTTTATTTCGTTTCTTTCTTTTGTTAGGCTTCTGATCTACTAGGAGAAAAAAGTCTCCTACAGAACTATCAGTATCGCCTAGGTTGTAGACAGTATTGGTGTTCATCTTGTTTGTCTCCGCTTTATTCCTAGAAATATTATTTTCGGCTTGTGTGTTCTTGTCCTTTTTATCTTTAGTTGCGTCCCTAAATTTATTTTTGTTTATATTTTCGGACTGATTAAAATTTGATGGATTTATTCATTTATTTTCCCTATTGAAATAATAAAACTTTTCTAAATTATTTATTTCATGAGAATTTCTTTTCAAAGATTTTACTTCTAATGGTTTATTCAAAATAACTGAGACAGTTTTATTAGTTGGTTTTTGAATTTTAACTGTCGCAAAACCATTTTCAGAGTTAGAAAGTGTAGAAGGAATTATAAGATTTTCTAAATTAGTTCTATTAATAATTATATCGCCCTCGTATATACTTACTGGTATTTGTTTCAAAGCTTTTTCGTTCGGATTTAACGTTATACAGAAATTTGCTTCGTAAGATGTTCTATATTTAAAAGGAATCTCAAAGTTAAAACCTACGAGTTTTTTATTTACTAAGTCAATGTTTAATTGTAGATTTATTATATCTTTTAGACCTATAACACCGTCGAAAAAGTTATGAAAATCAAATAGAATAAAATCGATTGTGTAGTCTTCTGAAAATTCTAAAAATGCTGGTATTTTTGCCTGAAATTGTGTTGTTTCGCTACCTATCGCTGTTTTAATTGTATTAGGTTCACGATATATACAGTGTGGGTAAAATTTTTCTGCAATTGTTGGTTTTAAAATTGAACGTGAGCTGTGGGTATCTATTAAAAGTTTAATATTAGAGTGTTTTAATTCGATGTACGGCAAAATACCGCTGGCTGATATATTTATTTCTACTATGTTGGATTTTCTGGATAGGCTGGATTGTGAAAATTTCCGCATCCATGATTTTCTTCATTAGGTTTTTATTCCTCGAAATTTTGGATTTGTTGATAGTTCGTGTTTTCCATGTTTGTAGTAAAATATGTCTCATTTTCGATATTTCTACAGTATTGATCATAGTACTGTTGGGCATTTTCTTCGTTTCCTTCATATTCATTAGCGTGTAGTTCTTCGAAAATAAATTGTGGAGGATTCCAACCTCTCTGTTGTTGGTTATTGAACCGATTTTGCACG